AAAAAAATATTTCAATATTTATGTATTTCAAAGATAAAAAATATTTCCCGAAGAAATGCAAATAGTTTTTACGATGCGTTACTTAGAATTTTTTCGAACAAACCTACACGTTAACCTTTGCTCTCTTAAACTTCCAGCTGGTTTCTAATTTTAAAGAACATTCGATTCAATTTCTAATTGTTGGTAACAAGATCCAGCAGTCGCGAACCGAAATAACTCCGATCGATCTTCTTTCTCTTAACGTTCCTCTCCGAAACGATCGCGAAAGAAAGGTGGCGCGAACGTGCAAGGTGTCCGCGATAGATTCTCGACTGGATATCTCAAAAGTTGTAGGAACGTGGCGCGATATCCCGTGCATACGGGCGAAGAAAATAAAGAAAGTCTTCGGAGGCGATAACCCTCGGTCGAGGAAATGTTTCAAGGTATCGCTGGGCCGGCTATTACCAGCGAAACAGGAAAACTTCGAATCCCCCGGTGCCGATTGTTACAAGCTTATAAACTGTCCGCTCGAGGATCAAACCTTTCCACAGGAAAAACGTTCTTCCAGCATCCGTTCGAGCTTCCGTGCACGACTTAGGAACGGCCAAACTGCAGCAACCTGGCCTCCGTTAACGTTACCCTACCCTTACGACCAGCCATTTGTTGTCCACCCTGCCGAGGAAAGCTTTGCTCGTTCTGCCAAACTACGTTCCTTCGCTATCAGAACGCCTCTACTTGGGTCCTTCTCTCTCTTCGACCCGTACTTCCTGCGCTAAATTCTATTCGTTTCGAGCAGCGAGTACAGCTGATCGACGACGATAATAACGATAATGAATGCTCGACGTATTCTATCGCTTTCGCTTTATTCCCTCATCGGCTAGTAAACGAACGATCGTTCTCTAAATCGCGATTACGATCAGATTGAATTTGTTCGAAGGAGCAAATCGAGAGCTCACTCGCCGCCAAATAGAGTCTAGTGTCGCTTCGTGAAATTAGATAGTGAAATCTGATCGAAGCGAGTACCGGAAATAAACATAATTCAAAAGAGACAAATTTTTATGCGAAATACCTGCACCTATTTTCCATATATCTTTCACGCGCGTAATAATTTCTAAGATCAATTCCGTGACACCAATTTTCAGAGTACTTCTTCTTTCTATTTAAGTCTCGGTTGATTTGAAAGAACAGGTGTCTCTTATTTCCCTTAAGCCAGCTTTGCAAGTTGTCCCGGAAGCCTGGGAAGTTTCATCGAAGTCGGGTGACGTAAGTCATGCAAAAGACACAGCTCGGTGAAATCCAAAGTGTACTCGCGACGTTTGAACAACGAAATAGGAAAAGCGACGGAAGCAAATACACTTACGAGGTAACGAAAGTAAACCAGGGAATACAAGAAGTTGCAATTTTCTAGAAACTCTCGACTACTACCTCCGATTTTATCTCGCCGGGCTTTTCGAACGACCTTATTCGAAGTTACCCATGTTTGTCTTTAATCCTTGCTCATGTTCGTAATTAATTCGGACAAAACGCAAATGGTAAAGAGCGGAGATTCCGCGAAATGTTTCCCTCGATCGTCGTCGCTGCACAATCGTAATTGTTACGTTGGTAATCGGATGAATCCCGATCGAATCGCACAGGCGTTATCGCAGCCTACGCGAAGAGAGCTTCGTTCGCGACGACGCGACGATTAATCGTTGTTAGCCCTGGGAAAAGTGGCGGAAAACGTGAAAGGTCGATCGAGTCGATGCGAGGACGAGTTTTCGCGACACGCCTGACCAGTCGGTTTCGAAAGGATTCGCGTTGCAAACACGCGACGATCAATCAAGCGCCATTCAACGACCATAACAAAATAACATGCGGTGGGCAGAAAGTTTTTTACCGACAACCGGACCGACCACGTTACACGCGTCGACGATTTGCTTAACTGAATGGCTATTCAGAGACTTTTAACGAACAATGGAACAACGTGGCAAACGCAAATTCCCCCAAAGCAGCGAGCCTCTTTTTACTCTGTTTGTCGCATTGAGACACATCGTTGAAAACTCTCGTTGAATCGAACTGGTTCGAAAACAACGATTACGAGATTACCCTATTTCGCTTCTTTCGAACAACTTTAAACGAGATAATTTCAAGCGACTTTTAATGCGTCGAGTGTTTCGAAATTTTCGAGTGCTTTTAAAAACGCGTTTCGATCTCTAATCGGTACCTCGATAGAAAGATAATAACGTACATGTGATCGCGTGGACACGTGGACACGTACAAGAAACGACACGCAAGAAAGAAACTAGAAAGCTTTTCAAAAGTGGAGTAGAATATATTTATTGTACAAGCACGCAGAATGCTCGTGGATGTATCTTTATTTTTTACTCCGGAAGGTATACTCTTGCAAAGAACGGAGGAAGCATAGAAACTGCGGAGAAAAAACGTATCCAATTTATTTGTACCTTTCGTGGCACTTGGATTCATATGATAATTACTTCTGATTACAGCTACCGGTCATTAAAAATAAATAATAAAATGTACCGTTGGCGAGAAGCCACGCGGTTGATCATCTCGCCTTTCTTTACCTCTATATTTTCATCGCGAGAATAAGCTATTAGATTTATCTATCGTTTCGCTGTTCCTATTTCTTAAATCGTTATTTTCTTACGTTAATGATCGGTCGCGGATAGATTACAGTTTGGTCTCACGAAATTTTGGCCCTAAGTTAAAAAACGTACATGCGAGGCCATGCGAGAATATTCGACTAACGAGAATTTAATTAACACCACCGCGCGTGTATCCGGCTCGTGACATGTTCCCGTTGCGAGGGGTTGTTTCACGCGGAGCCTCTGACGTTCGCAACTTTCCCATAAACTTCGCAATATCGCGAAGCTTACGTTCATAGGGCGACGTTATTTTTATGCAAATCTCGTGGCTGTGTAATTTGCCAGTCCGTCGCAAGGTTTATCATCGCTTCGCGTTTCGTATTATACCCGGCTTACGATACGATAAACGATCTAGCTGATACTTTATTGATAAGCTCGTTTTTTGCGTTCTCCGGAGAAACAGGTTAATCGGCTTCGATCGTTTTCACGAAAACACCGAAAGAACCAAAGACGAAATGTTTGGTCCTTCGATAAAATATTGATTACGTCGCTTCCGTGGCAAATTCGTCGATCGAGTTAGAGCGCGCAAAATAAAAGCCACTTTTTAAAAGTGTACTCATATGTACGCTATTACATAAAACGATGGGCGTCTTTGCGAGAAAAGAAATTAACGACGAAACGAAGCACGCTCAAATAATTAACAAACACAATATAAACGCGCGGAAGGGTGAACATATTTTATAGGAAGCATGTATTTTACCACAGAGTTTTACGGCTTAATTTGCCTGCGCTGCCCCGAGCGGAGATAATAAGAGTAATGTTCCATGATTATAGAGTCGGTCGTGATATCGCTTTGTTACCGTCTCGCGAAGCTAACACGAAAACTCTCGTCCGCTTACTGCGTAACTTATCACAATCAAGGTGGCCGTACTTCTACTGGAAAAATGCTTTACGCGATTTTAATCCACCTTGCACCGAACTTGGCTGCCCGAGTACCACTCGAGAAACAAACGAAAGGGCAGACGGCAGAGAAGTTTATTGAAATTTAGATTTATCGCGTATTTCGATACCCGTTTCTTTTTCTCAACCTTTTCCCGCGGCTGTCGCCGCTTTAGCAACGTTTACAGCGCGAGCAAGAAAGTGAAATATAAATGCAATCTTCGATAAGGAACAAACTTGTAATCTACATTACTACCTTTGTTTGTTATAAAAAGCGTATAAAGGGACATAAAAAGGATTAAAATATTATCGCAAAGCCAGATAATATGGGAGTAATGGGCAATCGTGTTTAAAAAGAAAAAGTTTTCTCTTGAGCGAGAAGATATATAGCGACGTTGTAGGAGATGTAGTTGGTCGAGAATAATTGTCTCGAGGTAATTGAATTACCATGGGCAAAGGGCTGTTAAAGAATAAGACAGAGAAGGCAGGGTAGGACAGGATAGGGCAGCTAGGGTGCACGGAAAGATATTGACATTAGTGGCGAAGCGATTCGCGGTGAATCCGTAATGAGAACGAAGTGAAATCTCGAAACTCTGATTATAAGGAACGCGAGTTAACGGAGTAACGGGGGTGTAACGGGGGTGTAACAGGGAGAAGGAGTTTGTTCGCGAAAACAAACCCACTGTTAATGACCGAAGTTTGTCGCGAGTTGGTTCCAGGTAATGGCGAGTGATTAGACGAGCGCGTGGTCAAACGCTCGGCAACCAGCTTTGGATTACCTCGAAATCCAAAGGGTATAGAAAGCAAATTGTTCGAGCGAATACGATGTTCGCCCCTTCAAACTTCCCTGCAACCTTGCGCGAAAACGAGCTATCCTTCCGGTTTCTTGATTGTTTCCATCTCGATCTCCGACCTCTTGCGTTATCGATCGATCTTCGTAATTTCTCTATAATCTACTTTCGGATTGACTGCTTGCTCGAACTGTGCTCGAAAACGATGGGAATTATCTTCCTCTGGCCATGATTCGTTACCTGCGATAACGTCTTCTCGGATGAATTTGTTAACGGATTTTCAGAAAGATCGTTGGAAGCATAAAAGCGATCGACTAGCCTATGACCTTTACCGGATCATCCCTGACTCGATCGAAGCGACCAACTTGATAAATTTTCTAATTAAAAACCAAGCTCATTTTGTGCGTTCGTACTTAACAACTACGATAACGTTGGCACAAAAAATTACTTCTGCAATTTTTAAGTAGCTAACTGTCATTGTAAGTCTATTTATAGCTCTATACATTCGAAAAAAAGGAAACATTTACGTTTTTCCTCGAGCCCGCGAGGGCAAAAGCGGCGCTTTAGAATAATGACCCAATAATGACTTAAATTGACTTTTTATGCGACTTATCACGTTCCACGAAAAATAAATTGACACTAGTTACGTTAAGGAGATAACGAAATTCGTATAAAAGCGACCCGCGGGAACGTTTGTCACAGCAAAAGTCGAGTAAAAATCAAACGAAAAACAAAGAAGAAGAAGCAGCAAAAATGGCCAACGTAATCGCTTTTCTTGTCATAACATTCTTCTGCCTAACGATGGTAAGAATTAAACGTTTATCTCAATTTTTCTCGCGCCAAGTGTACGTTTTCGCCTCTTCCTTTAATCTTTCCGCCTCCGGTACTGTTTATAAATCTTTTTCGCCCCTCGAAACACTCGTCACTCGAGTTTACGAGATTTTGTAAATAAAGTGCTGAACGATTTCTTATTTTCTGTCATATTTTTCTTTTCGCTGAATAAAACAGTTGGCCAACGTCGAAGCGGCAGGCTTACCGCTAGTGAATTCTCTCACCAATGTCGTTCAAGCGGCAGGTACCTCGGTCGAGAGCGTAAGTATCTTTTGAAGAACATCCGAGAATTAAACGCTTTCTAACTTACCATTTATTTACAGATTCTTAAACAAGTAATAGCTTTAGTAGTGTCTCTGCTCGACGTCGGTTCCAATTTACAAGTTGTACTAAGCACCGTGGTCAATGTGCTGCAAGCTTTGCTGGGTTCCAGCTTATTAAAATAATTTAATCCTGCTTGTACCATACTGTAACCGTACTATATTCAGATGCATCGAAGTATAAGTTTGAAATTGTATCACGAGTTCATTTTTGTCCCGTTGAACCTTTTATTTTTCTTTCTAATCGATCGATTCGACCTCGTTCTCCACTTCTCGCCGATTTCTACTGATTTTCATCTCGAATTCGAACTCGTGCTTAACTTCCGTGGAAACGGTTGTCAACGATGGAAAGTTTCACGATGTAACGTACCTACGTACACGGTACATCGTCTACTAAAGGGAACACTTTGAGTCTCCTTAATCGCACGATTCTGAAAGTACTTTTTTACGTCGGAAAGAAATGATATTCCGCTAAAAGCTACGTGCTCTCTCTTAGAACCGTCAGTTTTCAAAGAAAGTACGAGTGGATTCCACAGTGCATCGCGTAACGCGTTCGTTGTCGCATTGTCGTGACTGTAGACGCTTTATTCGACGAGTTGATGTTTGTCAAAGCGAAAGAAAATTGCTTATGATTCGTGCGGGAGTAGGAAGAAAAAAGGAAATAAAATTTTGAAAAGTCTTGCGTCACGCATCGACGATTGGACCATAGAATTCGAAACGCGGCAACGATTTCGTACACGGCACGTGTACGGACGAAATTCATGAAAATTCATTCGACATTTCCACTTTCGAAATTGTGCTCCTACCTATTACGAGGCGTTCCGATAGAATGCAAATGAAAACGAGAAAAGAAAGCATAAAGAAACGTTATAGAGAAAAATCGTGTATCGAATGGTACAACTCTCCGAGTTAGAAATACTTGCATCCGTCCGGAAATGATATTTTAAAGATACACGTTCCGTCGGTTTTGCTCGAAACAGCAAAACTACGCGATAGTTTGTCGGAGGGTAGACAAGCGTATCGTGCAACGAGCATTACTTGGCGAAAAAAGGAATCGCCAGGAAATATTACGTGAAATTTTTAGCGAAAATTCCATGGTATAACGTCGAAGACGGAGAAAGAGCAAGGCAACGTCCATCCATCGTGTAGGTAGGATCGCGGAACGGCATCGACGGTCACGTAATGCTTTGCCTCTCGATCTCTCGAGTCCAACTTTTCGTAATGGATGCAGGACGCATCTATCATCCCTTCGTCATCAACGTCAAAATCCTGGCCAAACACGGCAGCCATTGGTTCGCCACTGAATACCGACTACCGAATACAAAAGAGCAGCCGACGAATAGTGGATAGTACGGTCCGACTACCCTCCACCTTCTTCGATCCACGCGCGTTTTCCGTGTAACGCCCTCGTGTTTCGAGTAACGCGAGACGCGGTTAGTTCCTTAACGTATCGATATTTACGAAGCTTGCCAACGACGAGTTTAATAGAGTTTTAAGTGGCAAAAGTTAATACGCGTTAAAGATCAAGAGAGATAATACGATCCCGGCGGGAGTTCGCGTGTAAACTAGGACGACTTTGAGAAAGAGCCACTCGAAGAAGCTTTTAATGCTTACTACTGAAACGAAATAAAATCAGGTTAACGCGTTGAACATTCGTAGACGATTCTCCTTGAAACTTCTACTGTTTAATGTCGAATCTGATTCCAATAAGAACTGTTCGCCCCGATTAACGGAAATAAGCTGTCCAACTCGATGCCGCAGCCGTTGCAACGACGAATACCTCGTAAACAAGTACATAGAACTACGAATGTAAAAGATTTTCTAATTTCTTTTGCCACGGAGGTACATCTATTCAAAATGTCGTTATTCTCTCGCGGAGAATCTTGAACGAACCGAACGGAAGAAAGGGAGTAAAAGGCGCGAGCGTATTATTTTTTAAAGAGCCTGTAGGCAATAGCTCCGACCACGTCCCGTGTAATTGGCGCAATTGATATTCATAAGCCGGAATCAGAAGTAGCGACGTAAAATAGGGACGACGCGGCGTGGTGCAGTAGTGAATTCGAACGCATCGAACATCGTTGAAATAGCGTCGTCTTACGGTGAATACGCAAAATGAACAGAAAGGAAGAATAATTTCAGCCGGAAAGAAGGGGAAAAAGAGCAGCGCTAGTTATTACTAGCACGACGTTCTACGGGTATCTACTCGCTGGTAAATATGAATGGCTTTAATATTCCGTAAGCACGAAGGCGCCACTTTTTAAAGTTCATGCATACCCTGGACGTGACCAGAAAATATTACAAAGGCCTGCGAAAGCCCCCAGCAAGGAGGAAGTAGAACTCGATGCTATAGATAAGAAGTCGTGAGTTCGTAGTAACTTCCTGGTGCGATCTTTCGCGTTCCTCCCCGTCACATTCCTAATTGACGAGCTCTGCGAACGTGCTACTATTCTCCAGCGACGTCTCCGCGTAAAGTTTTTAAACTTTCCGCGTTTAAGCTGGATAACGCGCGAAATCACTCGTTGGAAACAATATTTGCGATACCGATAACCGATCGTAAGTAAATTACGAAACATCTTGAAAAATACGATTTCTTCGGGCATTGATTACATCGGAATCTTTCGAATAAAAGTAAATATAGCATATTTTTCGTTGACATCTTTTACCGATCGATACGTTATATCGAACCAACAAGTTATCTCGAAAAGAGCAACAAGCAGGTACGACGAATGTATTATGCAAACTTTAAGTAAATAGAACAATTATGAGGCTAGGATGCTATGCAAATTCGCGTCGATACGTACGGGATACAGGATGACCAGGTCACGGTACAACAACGAGATTTTTCAACGTCCCCGGGCAAAATTACCGAGGATAACGATCTCAAAATTAAATTCTGTATTGAGCCACGTGGGTTACACGGATAATGAGTTCCGCACAGTGTGCCGAACTTTACTTAATAAAAAGAACAATTCTTACAAGTTCACGGAAAAAAGTACAGCGAATAGAGTATAGTATCCACCTGCTAGCATTTTTTTATATTAAACTCGAGTACTCGATTACACGGTACGCTTTCCACGAGCTCGGTGGCCCAAGCTTTAGCTTATATTAGCTCGCCAACCTAAGCTTTAACTCGTATTAACTTCTCCGGCTCTCCCTTTTTTTTCTTTTTTACCAAGAACGAATCCTCTTAATAAAGAGATCGTGGTCGTGCAAATTGTGTTCGATATAAAATTAATACGTATCGCGATATACTAGTCATCGCGTAGTTGCCTATTCAACAGATAATACTCTATATGAATATAGAGTAACGTTTAGCTTAATTTTAATACCGGTTAATCCAAGCTCGCATTCCTTCCGCTCTTATGCTTCTTCATCCTGTTAGCTTTAAACCTTCTTATTTTGTATTTTGATCCTGTTATTATAAGCGATTTTCTCCGATCTCTAATTATAATCTAACTTTGTTTCCGTCCATGCTTAAAAGTTATTTGATCCGATTCTCCCTCCTTATCTATCCCAAACGGTCATTCTCGTACGTAATTTTTCGCCTGTATGACCAACTACCTACGTAACGTTGTGCACGAACAAATAAAACAGACAACGTCTACACATCAAATAAGCGACAGAAAATACTGCAACGCGTTTCAAATATTTACACGCTTTTTCGATATACAAAAGCGCACGTAACCGCGGCTGTAAAATGCAAAAGAAGAAAAAAGAACAATTAGTCGTTTACGTTGCACGGTCGATAGGTAGTCCGGTCACGTTCACCGTGACGGTGATTATTCAAGCGGTTTCGCAAGATTTCCACGATCGAAGACGGAAGAGAAGAATGAATTGGAACGATTTGTCAGAAGGGACGGTATCGTTTAATTAGAAACAGCATCGCGGCCGGTAACGCGACACGGAACACGAATCGCTGACGTCGGTAACGGTCCCCGCGTATTTATACATTTAATAGGAGAGCCTGACCAACGGGCCGCGCCTTAATTCAAACTAATTTACATTTCACATGTTCGCGGGAGCGAAGCTGGAACTTGGCGCCTCCATTTATCTTGGTTGAATTTAATTTTAGCCCGACCGAGTAAAGTGCCACTTATTCTTACGAATGCCGCCCATCCCTTCGACTGCCTACCGAGAATAGTACAAAGTGGTCTCGTTGCTCGTTTTTCGTCTACCTTTCCTCTCTTTTCATTCTTTTCTTGTCCGTTGTTGCCGCTCGGAACACTTTTCCGATTTGGTCACGATTTAGCCGCCACAACGTCCTCCCGACAAATTAATGTGCCGCGGAAGAATCGTTTCCTTTTTTTACAAATATCGTTGATGTTACCATCGGGGTATCTGATTCTTTCAAAGTACTCGTAATAAGCGCTTCATCGTTTATCCATGGTATTTGATCATTCAGAGAACACGTAAAGAGTTAATTAAAGTTAAACGTTCGAAATTAACCTGTGAAGATGGAAAGGGAGAACAACGTTTACGCGTGAATGGCGAACCGCGATAGATATTCGACGTTTAACGTCGGAGCATCGAAAACGCCGGTTGATTAACATTTTCATCGCAACTCGAAAGTTTCGAGCCCTTAGAAAATTCAGCGTTACAAATTTTCATTAAAAACTTTTCGCATTAATTTGCATAACTATGCCATTGTTGTATCGTACATCATATCGTTAATGCAAATTTTGACGACGCAACATGCAAACGACAAATCTGACGTATAATTCCTACAATAAAGTTGATCGTTATCGATTAATTGCATATTACATAGATAAAGCGACGTATCGAGCTATCATTAAAACCTTTACGAAAACCTTTATGCAGGTCAATCGAATTCCAAACGTTTATTTCTCGATATCAGATGTTTATTTTCAGTCATTCGTTGCTTGTGTCGAGTGCGATAAAATTTTAACTCTGTTCGCAAGCATATTTAATCGTACATATTCGATGTATTATTCGTTAAACAAATGACTATTGCCATGTTCGTAATCCGTCGGGTGTTAAAACATGTTTGCTGTACATAACGTAGCATCGTTTTCCAGTTAGAAAGTAAATAAAGCTATATCAAAAGTCAAAGTGTCTTGTTTTCCAACAACCGGTTGCTCTTTAGCTGATATCGACACTCTTTCGGAGCAACCGATTAACATCGCACGAGAGTAGAATCTCTTTTTCGATTGTTTACGACGTTTCGTCGAAGAAAGGATATTTTCAATCCCCAAAGATAACGAAATCACGAATTTACGTGCTCAGCTTCACCGTCGGACATTCGATCTTTTCTTACTGATCATATCGCGCGTTTCAAGAACAACTGGGGTGGCTGTTTGATTTATGAAAGTCCACGGATCGTCCTGGTTCGTATCGTATCCACTTATCGAGCTGTCCGTGTCTCCGAACGATCCGTTTAACGCGCGCATAAAAGCTTTCTCCTGCTTTCTCTGCTCCCGAGGCAAGTAATTTCGAAGGGATTTCGTTGTCTGTTCGCACCGTTGCTCCCGAGAAAGGACGAGCCACCCTTCCCAAACTGTCCTCGCGATCTGACTTGCCGATTTATCTATGATTCGTCGATCGTCCCGAACCTTACCTTTCCTCGATCACGAATCGTTAAACCCGACGAGTAATCTTTCACGTACTCAGCGATTCTTCCGTTTATTGTTTTCTCTGCGAACACGTTTTCTTCGAACGATATCTATCGAACATTTTCATCCTACTTTATCTCGTCTGTAACGTTTTAATTCCTGTGAACAATCTAATTTATCGAGCTATTTTTATACCGAAACGGTCCTCGAGTTTGTACGATACATATTTACCGAAGAATTCGTTTACCGATCGGTAGAAAATGGTTTTGTTTAAGCGAAAACAAAGAGAACATATTGATTTATCATCTATATTTTGCCTGTGAAAAAATACAAATATTGTCCCACGTGTTCTGAAAGTTTCGTGTATTTTTTCTTCGATGAACAAATTAACGATTGAACCTTGAAGAAACACTTGCACATTGTTATTGTATTTGCAAAAGAATGCATCATTAAGCTTGATATACTTTTTGATAATACTTTTTGGTAATTAATTTTGTTGAACAATATCCTTGGTTATATAATCCTCATTATTACTTAAAACAACTTATATAGCTGCAAAAATATTATTCGTTGATACAAAAATTAAACGAAATAATGCGAACAGTTATAAACGTTTATGTGTTCTGCTAACACGCGAAACAGCTGCATCTACCGCATGTGGAATCAAGGTTAATTAACCGCGAGAATGTCTAAGTTTTCAGTTAAATCATTACCTTCGTCTCTATGTCGGACACTGATTACCGATATTACGAACACGATTGAAGAATGAAAACAGCGAGCAAAAGTATTATTGCTCTATCGTTGTAGGATTAAATTATTCGATTTTATTTTATAGCTATCTATATAAATCTTGAAAAATCGCGTAATTTATGGACAAAACGCGAAACCTGAAACGAATACATTTTGCCTGGAAATTAATATATAACGAAATATCGTGCGTTAAAATAAAAATATAGTTTCTGTCTGTCGCATTGTTATTTCTCTAGATAAAAGACTCGCGTGGCGTATTGTCCGTGCAAAAGCAAGCTTTAATGAAAATCGTTAAAATTGCTTCTGAAACAAAACTTCTATGCGTCCTCTTTTTATTCATGGTTCGCCGCGATAAAACAGAAACGATTAACTTCGTCAAAATCGATTCAATATAGCTATGCATCGGAAATATCTATAGATATATTTGCCAGCTTACTTTCAGTCGCAAATTAACGTAAATTCTGATAGCTTAAGCTTACGACCGCAAATTGCATTAATTATTTAGTAATTAATTATTTGTTCATCTCTTAAAAAAGCTTGTATCGATCTGAACATTAAGTGGTACTCGATATAACGGTAATTCAAACAACACGGTACGATAACGTCGTTTTATGTACTTCTAATAAGACATATATTCACTGAAACCAGAGTAATAACCACTATACGACTGCAAGCGCCGAACAGCTTTATGAAATACCTTACCAACAGTTATATATGTGGAAACACAGTGTCATGCAATACCTTAATTGCACTATTTACGTCATTTTAACTTTGTACAGACAAGATTTCAAGTTAATTACAATATAATCTAATCTGACTTGACTTCGTCGATAAGTATGTAAGGTAATTAAGTTATTAGGTTATGCTATATAAGACAAATGGGCGACCGTCGTGAAGCAGGCCAGTACGAAATATCATTGCAACATACATACATACATATAAGTTATCTCTAGCCTTTTGCGAACCTCTCGAAGACAAAAGTCCAACTACGCTAAAAGTATACATACATAGAAGAAAGTAATAATTTTCTGTTAACTAATAATGTGCAACATATGTAATTTTGTACTATTTTGTAAAAATGTTATCAAGATATATGCATATGAATAAACATATATCGAACACGCTTGCATATGAACGTACAGACAAAAGGAAAAAATTGATATTTATGTTATCATTCACCACGTGACTTTTTGTATGTACATTTCAAAGTATATATAAAGTGTTCGTGATACATGGTGCATCATATACCGACGAAAATTTCAAGAATACGAACAATCCTGCTGAAACTGTAACCGAACAGCCGTGTACTGTTGCCAATATATTTATTATTTTAACGGTATGTCACTGAATACTCTTACTCAAATAATAAAAGATAAAAAAGCGAAAACTTTTGACATTTCGAATCATACTTGTCTTACAATCAGTCACTGATAAAAATCGATTTTGGCGGACAAAGTTAAATATTAAAAGAAATAAAGTAAATTTGAAGAATACCAAACATTTGCAGAATGTGCGTGACACGACAATATTATACAACGTACACACACATTCGCGAATATTCTTGACATAACACCGTACTGGGAATAAGTGGAAAGCTGATGCCGCGATACCACGTTCGCGACAATGTAGTTTTACTGTTCCGTTGGGTCTCGTCTGGCTCTTCAAATTCGTGACGGAACGTAACGCTCGCTTGATTTTGAGTTGGAACCAACATGAAAAGTGTCTAACAAAAGCAAACGATAGAACTGTTCGAAAAAATATTTGCAATCGAAAAAAGTTTGTGTTCGTTTAATCGGTATATGTCGATAGTCGGTCTATTTTCTTGAAATAGACACGCGTAATTGATTTATTGGTGATTCATCAATACATTGGCTATCGCTCTAGATTCAATAAACATCTTAATAAGATCTATGAAGAACGGCAATACATAAACAGTGATAATAAAAGAAATCGGCTCTCGATATCTGACTGATTACGTATCTTCCTGATACGAAACATTTATGCACTTCTTGTTTTGTGACAACTGTTTAAATCACATCTGGTTGTGACTTTTTGTTTAAATCACACCTGGTTACAATTGCAAGATATAATCGACATATATTTATACAGCTGACAAATATCAATAATGCTTTTTCGAGTCTTGAAATTTTTGTTTGTTTGTGATATCAATCGTATTGATAACATACAGCGGTTCGTATGAACCATTCATTAATTTACGAATTTTAATTTGATTCCAGTGACTAAGAAAACACGTTCGAAAATGTGGAAAGTGTTGCTAGTTATCCCGTTCTTCATCGCCATAGGTAAATTTTGATCGAATTATTCCGTTAATTTAAAATGACCATGTCAAGAAACCACGACCCTTATAATAATCGACGTATTAAAATATTATTATTGATCGCAGGTGGAACAGATGATTGTGTACCTACAACATATGGTGGAGACAAAATAGTATGCGTTTGCAATGCGACCTACTGCGACACTGTTCCAGAGAAGGAACCTCTACAAAATGGAACCTTTTATTCGTACACCAGCAGTAAAGCTGGACTCAGAATGAACGTAAGGAAGGGTGAAATCAATTCCTGCCAACAAAAGCTTGGATCTGTAACTCTAACCATAGATTCTACTAAGAAATACCAAAAGATTCTCGGTTTTGGAGGTGCCTTCACCGATTCTGCAGGAATAAATATTAACAAACTCAGCAATGCTACTCAAGAACAACTATTACGGTAACTTGACTGAAAACGTTAACTTTCAAATAATAATTTAAAGTATTTGTTCTAATCATTTTTTCGTAATATAAGTGGTAAATTCAATTTCCTCTAATGTTCTAGTGCGTACTACGATCCGGTGAAAGGAAGCGGATACTCGTTAGGTCGTATAGGATTCGGTTCAACCGACTTTTCCAGCAGATTTTATACGTACGACGACCACCCTGACGATGCAGAGCTGAAATACTTTTCACTTGCCACCGAAGATTACAAATACAAAATACCATATATGAAAAAAGCCTTAGAGTTAAATCCTAAAACGAAATTCTTCGCTGCTATATGGTCACCTCCCGTTTGGATGAAGACGAATAACAAACCCAATGGAGGTAAATGTTTGATGGGTATAATAGCATTAAATTGAAAGAAGAGAAACAGGGACGCATAATAGCGAAATATATATACCGCATGTACCGCCATTATTATAAACTAAATTTTCGCTGAAACAGCCGCATTTAAGAGTATTTACGATTAATCCATTAGGCTTCTTGAAAATTGAACACTATGCGACCTATGCCAGCTATATAACTAAATCTGTGGCTGCATATACAAGCAATAACATAACTATATGGGCAGTTTCGACGGGTAACGAACCACTAAATGCTTATATACCCTTTGATCGTCTGAGCTCAATGGGATGGACACCTGGCACCGTGGCTACCTGGGTCGCTGACTATTTGGGCCCAACTCTGGCAGCATCGGGACACGGTACCGAGATCTTAGCCCTAGACGATCAAAGAATTGAGCTACCTTGGGCTGTTGATTCAATGTTTAATAATGAGAAAGCGAAGGATTATATCTCTGGAGTAGCCGTACATTGGTACGCCGATTTTATTAGCTCTCCACAAGTGTTGGATAAAACGCATAATAATCACCCGGACAAATTTATTCTCTTAACTGAAGCGTGTGAAGGTAAACCAATACTTTAAATATTGTTTATTAACGTCTTGTTAATGGGAAGCTATTACAAATAAATTTTATTACGTGTTTATGAACAATTATAAAATCATTTGAATTGAGAAAATATCTCATTTTTCGAACATGGATCATAATGCTTTATATTTACGCAGGAACTGGACTCGGACCTCATGTTGATTTAGGATCATGGGATCGAGGACAGGCCTACATCCTAAGCATAATCGAGGTAAAACGAATAGCTGAATTTTCTCATAACCACGAGACATTGATCTCTATTAAGAATCTAATAAAACATATTTTTGCCTAAGTACCTGAACCATTGGTCAGTTGGTTGGGTAGACTGGAACTTGGCTCTAGATAAGAGTGGTGGACCAAATATAATCGACAACTACGTCGATTCGCCTATTATCGTAAATCCAGAAAATGATGAATTTTATAAACAACCCATGTATTATGCTCTCCAACATGTCAGCAAATTCATTGATAGAGGCTCTCAGAGAATTTCCATCACGGATACTATCGACATCAAATCGACCGCTTTTACAACACCTTCTAACGAAGTCGTTGTTGTATTGTACAACAAGTAATATCAGATTATTCTCAATTACTACGTTATCATATCAAAAATAATTTTAATTAAACATAAACACGTATATCTTTATGAAATACTCTGCTTTATGTTACAGGAATTTCATACCAAGAAATGTTATTCTAAAGGATTCGAAGAAAGGATCAATTTGCGTCGAATTACCGGCATATTCTATGAACACTATTGTTTATAAACAATAAAAAGAATCCTTTCGTAAATAGTATCGATGGAACATAAAATTTGATCTTCTTTGTAAATTATAATTTCTGTACTTAAAGATAAATAAAAAAACTGAAAGCAATCTTATAAATATGAAATAAAACTACCTTGTGGGGATCAAAAAAGAAAACCATCGATTTAAGTTATTTATATTAATGAAAATTCAAGTAGTTGTTTGGCTTGTTATTATTAAAAATATTTACACTAAAGGGAGATAAAACAATCGTTTTATGCATCTGGATAATACGTTTTTGCCCAACGATCTTTACCACGTTTTTTCGGATTCGCTCTTAAACATCTTGGTACATAGATTGGCAAATGATCATCCATTCTACGTTTTCTAGGTCGGTAACCAAACTCCCATGGATCGCGTTTCTTGTCCAGAGGTCGAGTTTTATTATCGATCAAGTAAATTTTCTGCCAAGCATGAATCTCTGGAATTTGACTATAAAACAAAAAGAAAAAGTAATTAATATGTAATTATCAAATCATAAATTTTAAATTCTTCCTGTATGCAATGAATTACGTACTAATGTCTTGGTCTATTTGACATGATATGTTTAAAACCCTTTTCTAACCAGACTCTGCGATCACGATCTTCAATATCGGCAAGGTGCTTCACTTTTTCTCCTAAATACGGTTTCATATTCACGTTAAACCTTTCTTCGGGTACATTGACATAAAATTTAAGTAATGTCTTTAAAACATCTTCATTAAACCCATGAATGTTTCCCTCCTCTACTGTATCAAACAATTTTGTTGGTTTTGTTATCCAACATAAATTACGTTTAGGATTTTCATCTGCATATTCTGAATGCACTAATGTAGTATTTAATTGATAAACACAAAACGACCACAGCCGACCATTTGTCAGAATCGTTTGAGTGGTTAATGGATACGTTATATCATTTACAGTAGAAAAACCTGAAATTAGAAACACAAGAAAATTTTTTGAGTCTAAAATATTTTTATAACCATAAATCTGTTACATACAATGATATTAGAATTCTGTTTATAGATATCAAAATTATTTTTAATACCTTGATAAGAAGCTTGGGATAACAACCAACTATATGAAGCAAAAATAGCTTGCACCATGTATGAATCTTCATAATAATATTCCAAATTATTTTGCAAATTTTCCAAATTATTTTCCAAATTATTGGAATTATGGTAAGATAATAAGCCAAATTCAGCTGGATCGCCAGGCCAAAATCCAGGTATAGATGTAGCGTGTCTATATGAAAAGGTATATCCTAGTGTCCTAGGATCAAGTTTAAATTGAGGAACACTTAGTTCTGTACTGGTATATTTGTCTGACGAAACAATTTCTTTTAGAGGGAACTCGTGTCTTAATTGTAGGATTGGAGAACCAAGATATTGAACGGGCATATTAACAGGGTCATCCGCATATTCTTTTTGACGTTTGAAGTTTGCTTTTGCCTTTCTAAGTAAAGTTGGAGGATCTATGCCACCCGCAAACCAAAATGCTTCCACTCTTGGTTCATAATCTATTTGAGTTTCTAATAAATGCGGTAAAGTAGAAGACAAAGTAGTTAGTAAGATTCTGTTGATTTGATAAACAAGCGTACGTACAACATCATCCTGTAGTTTCTTTTTATCTTCTGATGTTTTTATTGTTATTTCATGTTCTCTTCTGCAACATAGTAATACATTATTTATATATAATATATAAGCTGAAAAATAATAATCAATAATTTTTTGTTGAACTGAAAATAAAAATTATTAGTTGAAATTTTATATGCTTATACTTACAGCCTATTGTAATATTCAAAACTAAGAATATTTTTTATATGGCTTTTAACAATTTCTACCAAAGCATCCAATTGTTCGGATGTGATAATATTACTATAAAAATCAGGTAACTCGTGAGTGTTTACAAGATGAGTTCGTGTAATATATTGAGCATGTCCCAATGAATCGTATGGAGCAAAACCTTCTTTTAAATGCAATGATTTCCAACCATAGAAACGTGGCATATTAATTCCAAATAATTTTTCTTCTACACTTTCTAGCTTTTTAATTTTATTATGCCAGACTTCATCCTTTCTTTTAACCGTAGCTTTATAAGATGTATCTAATATAGGTGGATACTCTATTGTACTTGTCTCACTTACAGCAGTACTAGCATATTTCCGAATAACATTTATCGGTATATTAGATTTTCGTAATACAGAGTACATATTGAATGTTAATAACAATCTTTAAATTAACCGTTGTTTATAGTATTAAGGTTATGCAAAAATGATCACTGATCCTATGATTTACACAATTTTGTTACTGTTAATCATATTCTTTTATAAAGTTGCATTTATTTAAATACTAAATTTAAAACTGGGATAATCATTGTTTGTATTAAATACTATAGATTATACAATTCACATAATATTTATACTGCAACAATTAGCGCAGCTCCACACCACATGACCAGATTTACACATTCGGAGTCGGTCCGATTCAGAGTTAGTCCAAATACGCACCAGCAATATGGATTTTTGAAATCGAGTACTGCTAATGTTTTTTCTATAACTTACTTATTCTGAATAATTCTTTAAATCTAGATTACAGCTATATGTATATACGCAAGTATTTAAGACGTATCGATTAACGTATAAGTTACGTTATTAAAGTTGAAAAAAAAACATTTGTCAGATCTATGAGGTTAAGATAACCGACAAAATGCCACAAGGAACAAGAAAGAAACCGTTTAGCGGCAAAGCAAAAAAGCAACAATTGCAAGCTAAAAAACATCGACAAACTTCTACCTTACTCAGTATGTATAATATAATAATAAGAAATTAATTGTGTGCATTAAATATGTAAAATAACTAATTTTATGTTATAATTCAAAGCTGGAAGTCATAGCAGAGCTTATGAAGAAAGAACAGATCATAGTGATAGTTTGGGATTCAACGCAGTACAAAAGATCAACAAACAGCCAAAAGATGACAATTCTTCCAAAAACAGATATGCCTTACAATTCTTCCAAGAAAGCAAGGAAGAGTTAATGAAACGAAAGGAGCAAGCTAGAAATGCTATAGAACCTTTATCTATCAAAGAGCAAGAAGTTTCTGATGATTATTTTCCACCAGAAATTGACATACCCAAAAGACCACCATGGGATTTTAATATGTCAAAAGAACAATTAGAAATGAGAGAACAAAAGTATTTTACCGTAAGCGGTTATAATTCTCATTTACATCTGTTTACATGTAGCTTTGCTATCAGTTAATAAATTCTTGTCTTTAGGAATATTTGAAAGATATGGGAAAGTTGAGTACTGTCAGTTACTTTGAATTAAATTTAGAAACCTGGAGACAATTATGGAGAGTTTTAGAAATGTCTGATATTCTATTAATTATTGTTGACATTAGATATCCTGTATTAATGTTTCCTCCATATTTATACTCTTATGTAACAAATGAATTGAAAAAAGACATGATTTTAGTATTAAACAAAGTTGATTTAGCTCCTCCAGCTTTAGTAGTAGCATGGAAAGAATATTTCCATAAAATGTATCCTAAATTACACATTCTAATGTTTACATCGTATCCTACTTACAATTTGCGTGGAAACATAAGTGAAACAGAAGGAGTAAAGCAAAGACGTAGAAAAGGAAAATTAAGGATGGCCGCAGAAGGAGCACAAAAATTACTAGATACTTGCAAACAAATTGTTGGAGATAACGTAGATTTAACTTCTTGGCACAGTAAAATTCAAGAAGAGATGCAAATGGAATTTGATCTCGACGACGTCAGTCATAAAGATAGCGTAACAATCGAGAAAGAAGATACGAGTTATTTCGAGCATGAGCGTTATAAAAATGGAGTTTTAACCATTGGATGTATCGGAACTCCAAATGTAGGAAAATCATCTTTAATGAATGCTTTAATGGGTAAGCATCTATGTTTGATCGAATTATAGAGGAGCAACGATATGCTAAATAATTGGTCAACAACAATTTTTGCAGGAAAAAAGGTTGTAAGTGTATCACGTACACCTGGACACACTAAACATTTCCAAACCATATACCTTACAAAAACTGTGTGTCTCTGCGATTGCCCAGGGCTGGTGTTCCCATCTACTGTCCCAAAACAATTACAAATATTAATGGGTTCCTTCCCAATAGCTCAAGTTAGGGAACCATATACAACAATTAAATTTTTAGCCGAACGAATAGATTTACCGAAATTACTGAAAATACCACATCCGGATAACGACGACACATGGTCCGCTATGGACATTTGTGATGGTTGGGCTTTAAAACGGAATTTTGTAACTGCACGAACCGGCAGATTCGATAGTTATAGAGCAGCCAATTCCTTACTGAGAATGGCGCTTGAAGGAAAAATCTGTATATACGTTTACCCACCGGACTGGGTCGTTAATAAAGGTAATTTTTGCTACATAGAAATAAAAGTAATTTATCGTTTTGAAATGTAATCGATAATGCTCGATAACATATAATTTTATAGAAAACTGGGAGAATCATCCAGAAGTTGAAATAGTAAGATGGATTCAAGCTAGAAACAAAGGAGAAGATTTTAATGACGCGGGTAAAGTGTATTTGTCGTCTGAAGATGAAATGGATGAAGAAGAACGTTCAGAAAGTCAAAAACAACAAAAGAAAGAGGATTTTGATAATTCCGATGATACGTCAAGCGAAGAATCAGAAATACCACAAGTAGTTAATAAATTTGGAGCACTGTCCACGGATTTATAAAAAAAATACTTGGTTATCGTTTACTTTTAAATATATTTTATTAATCATTAAATACACGTTACTTACGTTATACTATCTATTTACAAAAAGGTAAAATATAATATTTATAACGAAATGTTTCATAAGTAAAAACGTTATATATATATGTTACACGCATTATTGTTCTGCATCTAATATTTTCTAATTGTTTATTGTACTGCTATTTATATACATTTTTGTTTTGCCATTGTTTCGTTGGTCCACTATACAGCAATAATTTATTAAAATTAGTTGTTTTACGAAAACAACCATTTCTTTTATTGCGCTATTTAAAATTTCTTGAAAAGAGAAAACATTTTCGAGGCATCTAAAATAATAGAGATAAGCTGAATAATTGAACTATTAAGGCCTATCATTTTCAAATGTATGTGATAAATACAGTGCAAAGCGGATAAACATCAGATTTTGAGAAAATGTGTTCTATCGTTTTGCATAACACGCACGTCTACATACGATATACGTAGGTATATGTATAAGTATACATATAACATACAGTAGTAAAGCGATTGTTAATACGAATTGTTAGTAGACGAGAAAACTATTTTTTTCAACGTTTCAACTTGTAGTTATAAAATTAAACGGTGAATACGATCACATTAAATTTCGTCTCTTATCAAAAATATCACGATCATACGTACGACTGAAGCTTGCGAGTCGTATTAAGCTCCCAACAATTTTTTAACAGAGTAACCCGGTATTGCATAGAAGAATAATAATACGAGTACTAATAATCCGATTGTTACGAACGCTTTCAAAATTGCCCATTTGTAATTGTGCCATACTATGTATTTGATGGATTTCAAAGGATTCAAGAACCACATAAATGACGCATCGGGTCGTCTGAAACAAGGAAGAAGCAATATAATTGAATTGAAAATTATTCCATTAGATGTATTCTTGAAATGTTGCTTACTTTGGTTTGTCGAGCGGATCTGGTTCGTTCCTACCATAGCCAGCAGGATTTTTTTCAGCTTCTTCTTTCGTTAATAAATGAATTTCAGCTTCTACTTTACCCTACCGTTTGCAAAATATTTCAAAATTCTCATAAAAATGATTCGTATTCGAAAGTTGAATGCAATTCGAAATTTACCGTTAATTCCATGTCTTCGTTTTCCTTCTTCACGTAAAATGGCCACCAGCCTTTTATGCGCTTTTGCTTGAAAATATTTACCGTCGGCACAGAACCGTCTGTTTTCAACATGCTTAACGTACAGAGTTTGCTATTTTTCGCACCACGAGGAAATCGATTTAAATCGAGCGTAATGGCACCCAGAAAATCATCGGCCGAGAAATGATCTGCATCCCAAACCTTAAAAGCGATGGTTACGAAAACATACAAGGTTGAAAGAAAGTTATTTTACGAATAATTTTGTTACTTGTAATTCCAAACGAGCTGGAATCTTGCATTCGGTCTCGTCCCAGCTGAAGAGACTTTCCTTTCGATTGATAACAATTTTCTCCTCCGCCACCAAATAATCAAACGGAAATATAAAGCGCCAATTAAAATTTCCTTCTCCGGTTAAAGATCTGTAGTGAATATCCGTCGACTGACAATCCTCCGGACCTTTTAACCATCTATCGAATTTACGAAAAATACATTGTTAAACAAATTTATTCATTGAAGCGTTTTTTATTTCTAACACCATCGAATTATTCGTAAATTTATAAAAGCATTAAGCATAATACCCTTTCACGTAAATGTCGCTCATCTTCTCGCCAGTGAAAAATGCATCGTCTTCTAATACAACGTCGTCGGTGTTCCAAATAATGATCCTAAGTTCGTAACTTTTGGGTTTCCTCGGTGAAATATCGATCGATGGTCCTGGCGAAGGCATATCCATGGGAAACATGTCGACCCACATTTCCAACTTTCCTTGCTCGATACCTGGTTTCTCTGGATTGTAAAGGGGGCGCGTTTCTACGTGTTCCGGTACCAAGGCGCAACCGATTCTTGGGAAATTATGCCATTGATGGAGAACCGCTAATGCAAGCTGTTCTTCTATGCCTGACGGTAAGTGGTAAAGATGGTGAAAAGGTAAAAAATTACCCGCGACGATTGCTTCGGATTATTTTTGTCAAAGGATGTTACGTAGGCGTATTGAATCGCTATTACCTTTTGTATGAACATAGTATTCCATTTCTTCGTTCGACAACGAGAACGTCTTCCTTCCTATCGTCACTTTTCCATGCGAATACATAGGACCGTCAACCTTTCCCTCTTTACAGAGTTTCGATAAAATTTGCGTCGGTTTCATCGCATCTCTCCACTTGTTATAACCAGATCTGGAATACTTAAATTTTAATAACTATGTCGTTTTTTCTGAAATTATTTTTTTTTGGACCGTACAAAATATACCTTGCCACTTCAATAGAACCCTCTTTTCATAAAATAAGTATAATCTATTATACAAACTTTCTATGTTAGAAACTCACTCGTCGTATTTCTTGGCTAAACCACAGGTAGCACGGTGTCTACTGTAGAACCGATTTTCCAAATCGATTTTCGTTTCACCGATCATGTCATCTGCACCGACCAAATCCCAGTCCAATACCTGCACGGTTAACAACGAGTCCTGCGGGAAGGTTGCTTCTATCTCGAAACATCTTGCAAATAAAATATAGTGTAAGAATTTGTTCGATATTCTAAAGATACCCGAATGATCGGTACATACTTGCCAAATACTGGATTAAGCTGTTTCGAAACATAATGTTCCTTGTCACTGATTCTCTTGCCGCCCAATTGCAGAACAACGTACGGATCGGCCTTTCCGTTCAAATCGCAAGGATGAAGATCGTTTGCCTTGACAATGTATACTCGCACCAGCACATGGATCGGTTCGTTCGAAGGGACACCTTGAAAGAAACCGTATTGCGGATCGAATCCCATCACCGTGTGGTCTATCAGATCTCTAGGAAGAGGCCATTTGTACACTTTCAATGCGCCCTTAAAGCTTCCTACTATTCTGGACTCGTCTTCTGGTTCATCCCCGGTCTTCTTCCCTCGATACAGCTCGAACGTGTGCAACCATTCCTTGAACTGTTCGAATTGTGGCTGAGCCTCCAATTCGTTCGGATAAATTTTCAATAGCGCCGTTTTGGGGAATTTCTGATACTTGGGACTGATCTTCGAAACGAACCTTGCCGCGTTCGCGGTAGACTTTAGGCCAAATAGTTTCTTCGCGGTAACACCGGGGCTTTTCTCTCCCGACGCGTTCGTTTGATTATGGGAATAATTCTCTTCCAAATACATCGGAACGTTTCCATTTGACTGTGTTTGAAACATCGGTTTCTCTCTACGGAGTTCTTTGTTCTCTTCTATCATCGCTTCGACGGAAGCGAAGTATTTTGTCCACCAATCTTGACAACCGTCCTCGTCTTCGAAGCTAGCGAAATCACCTGAGAAAAACATTTAGTTGATCTTAAACTTTACATGCTTCTAAATTTACTTCTCCGTAAACAAACGTTATATGCTCGTTCAATAAACTCGCCTGTACTCGCATCGTTAACCAAGCTTTGCTTCTTTCGTATGTTCTGCTCTGTTTTGTCCTTCTTCGTTGGCCAAGCCAGTTCTGTACCTAGAGTAATGATCGTGTCTCCGGCATTAAATTCGATATCGGTTAAAGATTCTGGCACAGATGTTTGCTGATATTTCATTTTCGATGAGTCGAAACCTATGTAAAAAAATTCAAGAATAAAGAATTCTGTTCTCGTTTCAGTTTCTCGCGCTCAAAAGTACCTGCTGAATATTGTTGTAACTGATACAGATTCTTTTTTCGATCTTCCGCGTCCTTGGCTTTCTTCGTTTGCGGACAGTACATGTATTTATGAATGGAATTTATCGTATGAGTACCGACCAAAGTGTATCGACCAAAGCTTCTGCAGTCGACCGCTCTTATCGTTAAGGGTGGTCGATACAGTTCTTGTTCAGGTAACTCTAATTCCAAAAATTTGATAGGTGTATTGAAATTTGGATTTTTCTTCGCATTCGATATAACCGACGAATAGAGGATGTGACCGGCGCATTCGACATCCACGCGAGGCTTGTCCACGGTCATCAAGTGTATTCTCTTCAGGTCTCTCAAACCCCAAAATAAGACTTCGATTCTGCGACGAATACGAAGAGTAGATATTTTTCAGGCACTGAACTAATCGCACTATTTTGAAACATAAAGTACCCACCGATATTTTGACAGGGTCGGTCGAATACCAACCGGTACCGGAAGAATAGGTCCCTGGTCTTGAACGGAGGTAGGCGTTTGTACCAATTTTTCTTTCGGATCTGGTAGCGTCGGGAATCCGTACTCTTTCGCCGAAGGATATTCGAGCAATTCGAAAACGGCGAGAAGCTCACCAGCTCTCGCGGCACCTCTGGTCACGTCGTACCATTCCAACGATGGCGGAAATTCCGGTGGCGTGTAACATTCCGAGGCGAGTTTCACGTGAGGACGCGCGACTGCTCGTCCTATGTACTCTGATTTTCCCTGAAAAGTTACCGGTCCGTATTTCAATCTTCGAGTTAGGGCTCACCAGATTTCGTGGATATGTTAACGCGATCAATGTCGGAAAAGGTTTTTTATGAATCGTATATCTAGTAACTCGTGATCGATGGACCATTCGTTAGAATAGTAGTTAATCGACAAAGATTGATAGAAAATAGATAATTTTATCATTTTTTCAACGATGAACTACGATAGATAAACTGGAAATTTTTCATAGTCGAATTACATGCTTCCTAAGACAACCAAATTAAAAAAATCATAGACATGAAAAATAATTAACTATAAAATACTGTTCGATGCCAGAAAAGAAGAACGTACAAGCATGTTTCGTGCGCATACGTGTTACCTACGGTGATCGAGTTGTGTGGCATGTAGTGAATCGTGTGATTCGATACCGTATGAATGTCGTATATTGTATACAAACTGTTAAAGCAGAGTCCTCATGCAGTGTTATGTCCATAGTAACAAAATGACTCTGTAAAAAGAGAATCACAAGAAGATAATAGTTTTTGCGTTTAATCGGCAAATTTGTATCGCGATGGCTAAATACAAAACAGAAATTATAAAACAGACATTACTTTTCACCGTTTCGGACGTACCACTTTATCCTGATCGAAGATTTCGATGACGATAGACGGTGGATCCTTTTTGATCTCTTCGGCGGTGCCGTAGATCAAGATGTCGTCGAAAAGAAGGAGCTCGTCCCACGTGGGGCTCAGAGTTTCGTCGATCACTTGAGTAGATTTGCAAAACTCGCCGCATATCACTCTGGCGAACGGGTCAGAAAGACCGGACGCGTCGCTGCCGATCAAAGATCGGGCTTGATACATGTGCGCTCTTAACTGGAACTTCTACTCGACATAATTATTACGAAAATCTTAGCGAGTCATCGATACCGGGCTCCCGCGAAGCTTGTTTCAAGTAAACGAGTAGAGGATTGAGAAATGTATCAGACACGTACATGTTTCTCGACGTAATGAATAACGGTAGGCGGTAAAGCACGAGGTCTGTCGACGTTCTTCAACTCGTGACTGACTTCGTATCCTTTTGGTAAACCTTGGATAAAATACTTTTTATGCTTCAGAATACCCATCCACATGTAAATTTGTAATTTCGTTTGTATCGCCCAGCCGGAAGGCCCGAATCTCTTTTTGCCTGGAAGCTATCGATACATCGCGTTAAATACAAATTTATTATATCGCGTTACTTTTTTCGAAGATGTCTCACAATTACGAGCGACCAGAGACAAGAATAGAAATAGAGAAATGAATGGGCTGAAAAAGAGGGAAAGAGTAAGAGAGAAAGCAAATTCAGAGGATCAAAGTACAACAGGTGATACAGAGAAGTAGGGACGTAGAGTTTACTCGGCTATTTGAGGGAATGTGCATAATACGTGCCAGATGGCAGCGAGGTATACGAGAGCGAGACGGACGAAATGTTCGAAGAGAGAAGGAAGAGCACTTAGCGAGTAAAGAAATGAATGAACGAGTGAAGGGATCAGGAGAAAGTACTTAACCGGTAGGTCATAGGTAAACGATGTTGAAACCGCGGACATAGCAAATGTTGCTATTTTACGGTTATTTGAGCATTGTCTCTTCGTGTCACTATTATTAATGTCAACCATTATCGATAAAGTAATATCGATAAAAAGTTGAAGCTGACATACTTTAAGAAACATCGTTTGCACTTTCCCGCAATATCTGCCGCACTCCTCGTCGACAATCGAGTAGATCAAGTCTCTGCCAGGAATTCTTTGATAAGCCACTCGTCTTCCAGAACTGATCACCCAAACAAAGATATCGGGCAAAGAATCTTGAGGCTGAAAAGCAAAAGGTCCTCGTAACCGATAAATTCAGAACCACATTCGGTTTTCGTTGGAGTTCACGCAATATACTCACGTCCTCGAGGAGAAACTTTAATTTCTGCAAGTAACTCTGGGCAGTCTTCAACCTCTCCTTGAAGCTGCTTTTAGTGACCACCGCTTTCAGATTTCTTGACAAGATACCGATATTCTCCAGTTCCCTTTGACACAGCTTCGTCCTTTCTTTATCGAGTTTTGTTTTTCCAACTCCGGGTCCAGTGAGACTCGATTTGCTGATACTAACGTATCGATTGCAATTGCTGCTCAATTCCTCCAGGGTGGACTTTAATATTTTTTCAGCCGAGCAATCATCCGCGTGTAACTGCGTCTCCGACAGTCCTTCTTCCTGATCGAAGATCAAATGTCAACCGTAAATTACGACATCGTTTCGGTCATAAAGTCGTTACATTTCACCCGTAATTTTTCGACTTACCAGTTTATCGGCAATTTTACCGATGATATTGCTGTTGTACATTCTGCGTCTGTAGTCGGGCCAAATGCTTCTAACGTGAAGGCAAGGTTTGTCGTCCCAGTACGGTAAGAAGTAGTAAATTTTATCGTGTGTCATCGGTTTGCAAGCCGGAGTGGTACTCTGCCAGAATCCGCTCAGTACTTCTTGTAATTCTTCTTGATCTACGCTCGTTCCGCTCTTTGGTCCCAATTCGCACATCTGTCGTGAGTAAATCGGTCGAAACAAATTCGTTAGCTACATTTAGTTTTCCCGATCGAAACGTTGTATAAGTTTAACGCAAACAGAAAATAGGTATCGTAACAGGAATTGCTCCCTTTCACTTTATATTATCCAGCGATTATTCGGTTACTCGGTCAATCGGTCATACGGTCATTCAGCTGGATAGTTTATTCGTCGATAACGCGTATCTTTCAACCCTTCGTCCCTCCCTTTTCCCCATTTCGAACGCTTACTTTGGAGCTTTCGTTGTGGCCATCCAAAGCGTTGCCTGCGTTTCCTATGGATAATTCGAAGTACAACGGTTTGTCGCCAAGTTTCTTGTCGATCATCGTCGCGTCCATAATCGTAGCGAACAGAAAAAATTCCTCGTTTCTGGCGTAAGCTAATTCATTGATGGGCACCGCAGGCTCGACTTCAACCTCCGACGGAGCAATTTCCACGTTGTCGCTAATTTCTGTTCTGATCGCTACCAGTAATCTGTGATAATGACCAATTTATTAGTAATCGTCGGTACGCACGGTGAACTGTGACCTTTCGCGATTCAAAAGCCAATCTGATTGGCATCGATAACTTTGAACTTCTATTTTCCGTTTCAATGCGGCTGATATTATTAATTAAATCTTGGTCACGTTAAATAAATCACGTAATTTCGGAGGATAAATTGAACTGTACATTTTTTACGAAGACGTAACATGTTGCTTTAATAGTACTATTCAGGATAGAATTTTATTGTCATTGCATTAATTTCTATTATAATAGCACGAAGTTGGAGTTATTTTATTCAACGAATACCTTGCTCTGTACGAGATTCCCTCTCCCAAACCAACGTTCAACGTCGAGTGCTCGTCGATGAGACTGTAATCCCTGATGCTTCCATAAAAGTGAATAAAAGCCGGACCAAACGTAGGAAGAAATCCCTTCTCCCCGTCGTTGCTGATTTGCTTCAAATCCACGAAATGGGTGCCAATCACCGTAGCATGGACCGGGTCGTTGTCACACAGCTGGATTTTAATCCTTTGACAAAGGGGTGGAAACATTTCCGAGAAAACGATCTGCTCGTTCCAAACGGGAGCGTAACTGTGCCTCTTAACGCTCGTTTTACCCTGCATCGCACAAAAGTTCTTTTTAAATTGTGTTCGTTGTATTATTTTGTTGGTTAAACACACCTATGGGTCGACGTCCATGGATTTAAATTAAGAGGTCATTGATCTTTTTAATTAAAAAGGAATAAAAATATCGTGTACCGTTAGTCCAGCAAAGGACACTTGAACGTAAGGATCGACGAGATCCTTCACTTCGCCCGTAAAAGCTTTCTTCACGTTCGCCATGATGCTGCTGTTCATCTTCGGCAGCCCGTCGGCTCTGTACACCTTTACGATAAACTTTGCCCTTTGTCTCTCGATAGGCACACCGTCCGGAAGCAACAGATTTCCCTCGATATCGTCCTCGTCTTTTTCGCTCTTTGGCGGAATTTTCACGGTGTCCCCTTTTCCGATCACGCTTATGTCGCACTTTAAATAACCCTTTGGACCGCCGGCCACGTCGTCCGGATCCGTCAGCAGCGCCCATTTGTGGTAAAATTGATGATCTACAGAGCGAACGTGTGCGTTACTATGTGAATCGCATCTGAATGGTCCGATACATCGTAACACGAAAATAGACAAGAGAGTTCGAAGCGGGAAAACGTTTCACGAACGATCGTAAATACCATTTATAAAAGAAGATTTATGAATATGCGAGACAAGGTGCAACTGAGCAGTCATCCGCTTCCGGTGCGTCCTTGTACCTTTCAAAAATTTTTATTTGCATCGACAGGTAATTCGGTTTGATCAGTTACGCGACGAGCTCTATGTCATTAGATTTATGCGTTCTTAAGCTAACATTTTTTAAGAGCAATAACTTTTGCGAGAAAAGCGTGTCGTCTGTTTTTTTTAACCACGCGATTCTAAGCGACAGAAGCGGCATGACTTGGAAACCGTAAGCGATAGGCGCGTGAAGATATTACAAAACGCATGCGTTGAAATAGATCGAGATTAAAAAGTGGAGATGAAGCGCGATAAGATTTCCTTTCGTTTATTTATTGTTTTCCATTCTTTGTTTCTCGTCCAGCGCCATGGTTCGCGTGATCCTTGGAAGTCTCTCACTTTTCTTCGTCTAAAGATCGTAAAGTCACGAAGGAACCAGGCTCGTAATGTTTTATGTCCTAAATAAGGAAGAGAAAGATCGCTGATACGAATAAAGAACATGCACGGTGATAAAAGTCACTGAACCTATTGCCTTTGAAAGCAACGTTTTCTTGACGCGTGATTAGCGTAAAATATATACCGAACGTTTCGTAACAAGTCAGGAGCAATATAACACCGAAAGAGAATACGACCGAATACGTGTGCTATTTTGCATGGCTTCTAAATTACAACCATTGCTCTTCGAGAAACAAGAGTTAAACATCGGCGAATCGCTACCGCAGCGATTTCTGTAACTCGAACGCAAAGTTTAACATTTCACGCGTTTATCTCTTTGTATCGCTAAAGCGGAAAGCACTTTGTACGAAACGTCTTGTATAATTTCGCGCGCCACCTTGAATTCTTAGTCTTTCGGCATGGGCTCGATAAACGATGAGAAACAGTTATTAATGATCAGGAATGTAGTCTTTGGAGGTCCTTTCGAACGGTTGAAAAATTGTACCTGGTTGTGCCCATACAGTCGCGATGTCTAACTTAAAGATGCCCAGCGTTAGATTAGCGCGTAAGAGATTCCGCGATTGCTGCACCTGCGTATCAGTAGAACGTGTTCACTTCAAATAGTCTCTACTCGTTCGTTAACAACGAACACGTAAACTTCTCTTTCCCGCTTACGAGCTACCTGTTCTCGAACAGGTGGCTACAGGTATACGGCTATTCGAGTACTATAAATTGCGGTGCATCGAACTTTACAAGCGAATCACAGACATTTTCGATTACCGAAAACGTTCCGTGTGAAAGGCAAAGCGCGATTGGCGATTTACTGACAGCACATTACATTGTTTTATCGAAAAAATATCGTCGATAACCGATCGTCCAACTCGAAGCGAATTAGCTTCCTAACATTTCTAAACAGCGGCTCTAGAGAAACGAGGAAATTCGGAAGGTGAACTTACCGAGAGCGTAATGATTTTGTCGAACAGCATTACTGGCGGCATATGAAAATCGAAGACAAAGTACTGCAAATAAGAATATATGATTCAAATTATTTCGTTGACAATAGCGCCTACTATCACGAATTTTTATCGAATTTACTTCCTTTTAAATTGAAAATCGACGCGATATTTAACTCGTATGCTAACAGCATCGTTCTTGGAGAAACATCGTGACATTTATTCGACGATACGTATTTTCGAAGTAAATGAAGTTCGTCTCATATCAAATAATGCACAAAGTAGTATAAAACGTGCTAAACGATGTGCACGACTTGAAATTACTTCGTATTTAACTTAAAAGAGCCGACATAAATTGTAAGGTCCATACGTCCAACCGTTTATTCGAAGGAACAGTGATCGTAAACGCGTAGAAGAAAAATTAAATGAAAATTATGTAGCTACGTAATTTCATGAAAGTAAAAGTTACCTCGTTGTAATATGGACAGTTCGTAGATTCCTTGACGCTAGTGTATTTTCGTTGATCACCTATTTGCACGCAAACCACCGGGTCCATGTTCAAACCTGCCAATTGCCTCGCTTCGATGATCGTGATGCAAACTTGATAATCTTGGGCCTTTAGCGCGGTCTGGCCCGTGTCGGTAGTCTGTGAACGATACATCGATGCAACGAGATTATACGGATAGAAATGCACTCGCTTCCGAAGATTCTCTCCGGAGAAATATCTCCAAGGGTAGTTTCGATCGATCCCTGAGTCAAAGTCTACCCAGCTAATTCTTATGTAAAACCCGTTACCCAATTGGTTCCGCAAATTACTTATTTCCTTTCCTTCCCTGTCGAGAACCGATGCCACCCTCTCCAATGCGCTTCGTTTATTTGCACTCGAACCCCTTCAGACACCCTGACGCGGAACGAATTAACAAGCGACGCGACCGTTCATTAATGTCACTTCCACCTTACTATAGCTACGGCCAAAGAAAAATAAGAACCGCGTAATAATCGACGAATATGAACTATCGATCGTGGACCAAAATGAAAAAGCAAAATAAATATTTTATCTGTAAAGATTGGATATACCGCTTGTTTGAATATCGTTTTAATTGCATTGAAAACGTCGACAATTGTGGCTTTAGATTCTATCGATGAAATTGTTTAAAGGACGTTGGAAGGAAAGACAGACCTTCGGTTTTGGTTTCTTCGTTGGTCTCGCGATCGCGTCCTGAGGTTCCACCGCGGGCGTGCTAACTTGGCTATCATAATCGGACACGTTCGTCTCCAAAGATGTCATCGAGTTTGCCCTGGAAGGTTCGTTGGATGTTGCGCAACTCGAGTCCATTCTATCGAGCAATTCTCTGGTGTCCGAGCCACTGTCGCAAGATCGAGCTCTCGGTGGTCTCTGCTTACCCAACTTCATGAAAGATCTCATACTCTTCAGCGTAGAATTTCTACTGTTTAAACGAAATAAGTTGCAATTGCGATAGTTACTATATGGCTACTCGGTACTACGTTCGTCATTAAAATTACTTTCAACTTTCACCGATTTCGAACTTTGGTTTCGAACAGGCACGGAAAAGTGCCATTATTGATCATCGAAATGCCGTGTCAAGGTAACGAATGTACTACTATCGAATGAATCGAGAGAAGATACGGTATCTCCATCTTAAGGTTTCTAGTCGACATTTTACATTCTTCGCGACGCAACAGGGAAAGTAAAGGGAGAAAGGAGCAAGGAAGCGAAACAAGTTGGATATTACGAAAGAAAATATGCGAGAAATCCGAGAAGCCGTATCGACTTATCGAGAATGTCTCACCTCTTACGATCGGTTGACTTCTCCGTAGCCGACAACGAACTACCCCTTTGTAGAAAACCCCTTCTGGAAGTTTTCTCAGGACTGTGCCAAGAACCCTTCCTTTTGCCGCTGCCAGAGCCGGCGTTAGCCTGTTCGAGACTCCTCTCGAGATTCGCGATATTTTGTTCGATGTCGATCAACATCTGTTGCTCGTCCTCCATTATTTCTGATGCCTCCATTATTTCCGAGGGATTGCAACTACCGTCGGGAGGGTTGTACCGAATTTCGAAGCAGATGATAGCCTATGCGTATAGACAAGCGTACCGAATAAACGTCATCATTCAAAACGTTTATAAAACCGGGGGAAAAATCAATTTTTCACCGTGGACACAGCAATTGAACCGTGATACTCGATCAACAAAATGGAAAACGGAAGCTGTTACTGCTATTATGGATTGCGCACTTAAGTTCCTGAAGAGGAATAACATACCTGAAGAGGTTTGTTATTCAGATCTACCAAGGAATCCGTGATAACTATACGACCCTCTCTCGCTACCGTTTGTAGAACCAAGCCATACTTCGCGAGCACCTTCTCGTTCCTGAGAACCCCTCGGGAGACAACTGACAGTTGCAATACTTCTGCTTCATCGATCGGTCTACCCAAATTCCAAACGAAATTCTGTAAATAAACCAGACGTTAGACAAGAAGAGTGGAGAACGATATAAGCGCGAGTCGTGTAATTATAAATATGTAATAAAAGTTTATCTCGTACGTGGTACTTTCATCCCAATTAAAGCGTTTCGATGCCCATTAAAATGAATAAAATCTGTCGGTAAATGCAATATGCATTTAATATGATATATTTCAGAGCGTATAAAATTTGTGTGGAACTTTTAGATTAAGGGGATCATGTTGGATGCATCGATGCAGCGAACGGGGTGGATTCGCGTAGCTTAACTCAAGATTTAAGTACACGAGCGTTGATCGTTCGACGATGCGTTATGTCACGAGCGATAAAAAGCATTATAGCAGAATGTTTAAAAGCCTCAACCGCATACTGGAACAATATAATGGATCGCTGCATCTACGTCATCCTATTCGAATCACGTAAAACGGCTTTGAAATTTGAGCGCAATATGAAGCGACAGCCATCGGTCGTCGACGCTGTCGAGATACTTCCGTAAGTACTCGAAATTGACTTCCGTTTTGACCAACTCGATAACGAGGTCGCGATTAATCGTGGAGTTTACTATCGTACTTTGTCCCTTCTATCGATTTCTCGGCTAATAAGGTTACGGCGATACAGAAAATCTCGCTGGACGTTACGATAAATTACAAATATACGTGCACAATGTCGGAATGTTTTTACAGCGGAATTCGTGATGACCCGCTTTCGAATCGATTCTGTGATCACGCACTTTACCTTTGCTCGCGGCTCGAATAAAACTGCACGATCGGTTTATCCGCGGGGTTCGTAATCAACGCGCGTAATCGACCGAAAAGTGTTAATAATCGCTGTTAAATCGTGCCATATCGCGTATGTTCGTTTTCGCTCTAATGGTCAGCGAAACGATTAACTTGTAACCTACGCGCTCAAGAGGTGTCGTCCATTAAATTACAGAAATTATTCGACGAGTACGTCCGATTTAATTTTGCAATTTAAAATGTATCTTGTACTTGGTCCAGTTTAGAGAAGAAACACGCGAACGCTAACAATGAAACAAAACTAGTTCCGCAAGAATATTTATTTAATGCGAAGAGCATTAAATTGCAAAAAGCGTTTTCGTCTACTTCTTTTAATCGAGGCAGAAAAAAGTGGGTCACGATAAGCGGTTGATATACACTGCTCGAACGTACAATTTAGCCTGTTCATTTGCCTCCTGCAACGAGAATTTTGGCTCCAGGAAATTTTCAAACACTAACACGGAACTTTATGTAAATATATTCATTTGTGCGCTGTTATAACTGTGTGAAACGAGCACGGTTCGGTCCCTGGATTTTAAGCGTGCCGGTATAAACTGCACACGCCCACGTACTCAAAATTTGTATGAATAATAAAAGGACGCAAGTTATTCGAGAGACCTACTTCGTTCGAGCGAAAACGTGACGCGCGTCGCTCTATAACGATGGCATACGGAAGATCAAAAGCACGACTATCGCCGATTAAACGGGGGAAAAAAAACGACTAATGAAAAACAAACGTTGATCTCTCTAAATATCTACCAGCTATTTGTACGTTTTTTAGTTAAACTCGTAGGAAACGATTTCGCGAGACAACCAATTATAGAGTTTTTGTGTCTCTTCAAACAGAATTACGGAGTAGCTGAGCTTAAACGGACAGCGCATTTCATTCGATAATGAGCGGCCGCGTAAGAGTTAAACGTTTATAAAGAGACAGTTGCGAAACAATTTGAGAGTCTTTCAAAAACATTCCCACTCGACCTTACCTCGTCCACTGCAATGTGGTCTCCGCTTTCTTCTAAACATTTCGAGTAGTGAGGAACGCCTGCAAAGGAAAATTTTATTACAGCCTCATAGGTCGATACAAAATTCTATAGATACACGAATCTGCGGAATGGTTTGAAGAGAAAACTAATCGCGGTAGAATCGCAAACCAGTCTCGTTCGCGTAGGCAGCAATGTATGCAAACGAACTTTCTTTTTACGATAAGGACTAGTTGCATATAGAAGCTGCAGGAAAAGGGAAATAAGGCGATGTAAGCTTAAAATATTTTAGAATCCCTGAAAAGCAGCAATAGAAAGCTTTCACGCTCGCACTGAAAATTTACAAGGTACATTCATAAAATAATTCGTCGTAGAAAATTACATCCGTTGCAACATGAAACGGAATTTTTGTACACACTTTACGTATATCGATAGTACTGTTATTGAAAATATTTTATCGCGTTCAGTCCACTTACGTTTTTAAGTAGCTACTTAAAACCGTTATCGAGTAAAAAACGATCTATGCTGGCAACTATTCTCGTTTAGCCGTAAGTAGGAGTGTAAATCTTTGGGATTTTATGAAAGAACTTTTATACTCTGTAGAAATTGTTTAATCTCGCGCTGGCTGCGATCAATTTACAGCCAATTATTGTGTCCTAGTTTTTAACTAAAAATCTGCTCGTATGGGTCAGATTTTTTCCTGGACATGACAAAAAGTGAGCGAACGCGGAATAATTGAAACAACGCGCGTCGAAAAATCGTTAAGCATTCTCTTTTCGTGTACTCGGTTATCAAAGAGAATAGTTAAGATAAGACTCGTTTCTTATTAACGAATTAGAAACTTCGTATTAGCGAACTCTTATTTCTTCGTTTAACTTTAGTCGAACTTTTATTTACAGTGAAACGCGAGAAAAGCTAAAGTTCTTTACGCAAACATGCACGCACGGTTTTTCTCGTAGGCAGCGAAACTGTGTTCCGTCGTTGCACGCAACCTTTGACTCTATACTAGCCTGAACGTTCGTTACTACGGGATATTATTTACGTTAAAGCCGACGTTGGGATTACAAAGTCTCGTTTGTCCTACAAATTCACGCTTTACTCCCCTCTATTGCGAACCACTTTGTACACGGCAATTCGCTCAAAGAGCAAAGGAAGCAAAAGTATCTATCTACCTGTATGACGTGTAAATTATATCGTCGGCAGCGTCGCATCCGTCGTCACACACCGAAACAAACGCTAAAGCTCTACCTTATCGAATGTTCTTATATACCCTGAAAAGTTCAAAGTATTTGTCGCGTTTCATCATTTTTCAAAATAAACCCTAGTTTCCGATACAAAATAAAGGTTAAAAAACTACAACTCGCAGCAAAGCTGTTTACGAGAGTTATTTTTACCATACGCGTTTGTCCGACGCAATCGACTTAATTCGATCAAGCGATTAGAAAGTGAAAAAAGAGAGAAAATCCTGAGTACCATTAATATCGCCCTACTGATTTTAATCGGCGAATAAAAATATCTATGATCGTTCGTAATACCGTGTATCGCGAACTTGATTATTTCTATGATAATTAACCCGTTAATATCTGTAGCGAATCTGAAAAAACTGTCCAAAGGTTTTTTAAAGGGGTCAAGCAGAAAATCTCGCGGCGGAAGTTGATGTCACGCGAGCTCGAGGACTCCCTGAACTAGGGCAGGCATGATTAAATGAAAGTTTAACCAACAGGAGTATAGGCTTCCGACCAACGATTCACCGTTAACGTTGTTAAATTCGAAGGCGAATTTGTCTTTATACTCTTGCTGGGTCCCGCGAGGTGACCAAACCAACTAACCACTGACTGATTTATTTAACTCCCCGCCGAACAAGTTTCGTACTCGTATCCTCCAGATACTTACAGGCCACCGCAAAACGGTCGTTCACCGTGAAAATTGCGAATTCTTCATAGTGTTTGCATTCCTGTATCAACGAATTTGCAATTTAAAGAGTTGTTTTTTAAGCGGGGCGCAACACGGGACCGTAGTGTTCTGTTTGCGCTTCAAGTGACCGAGCAAATAACTGATCCTCCACCGCGAAAGAAAAAGTGTACGCTTTACGTGCATGAAATCGCGCACTGCTTTGCATTAGCGAGGTAATTCGCTGGTTTATGAAAAGAGCAACAGTGAATAACCTGGGTTACGATACTCCACTGCTTCAAGATAATGTTCGAAATTATAAACTGTAATTTTCACGAGATGTATCTACTTCAGCTATTCTGCATACTATAAGTCGTGCGTTCTCTCGCGTTTGCTAAACGGATTATCAGTATGTGTTTCCCTTCCGCCTGCTAATTGAACGTTTAGCACCTGTAATCTCCCCTTTTGGGTATTGCTGTGTCTCAAAATGTTGTAAATTGACCAGTAACTAAAGCTATGACTAATCGACGGGAATGGATATTCGATCAACTATTTTTCACATTTAACTTATAAAATTATCACGCACTCAAGTGATTAATTCCTTGACAATATTGACTCAAGCTAACGTTAAATCAAATGTTGACGCTAGGTATCATGGAAATCATAGTTTCACGACAAGCTATGGAAACAAGATAACGATCCGTAACGCGTCAATCAATTCACGGGCATCTGTATAAAAGGGTAGTACGCGATATTCCTCGACGCTTGTTAATTCGAGAGTAAATCAATCGCTGAAGAGTTTGTACAAACCGTACACGTTTCTTTATCGCGTTATCGTATCTTCATTCTCCGCACGATTCCGATCATGTCTTAACATGCTAATGCCTGTAAATATAATTTTGAGAAATTCAATGAAAACTTAAGATATATATCAGATTTTACACTTAAAAAGCTACGGTGATCGGCACGAATCTAATCCGATAGAGAGATAGTTGAAGGACTAAAAAGCTTTTAGTCTAGCAATATTCTAATCGCCTTAGATAACAGCTTGAAAGTTGAAATTGCGGACCGAAATGATGGTATCATGAATAATTACAACTAAAGCGTATATGTACACACCATTTGCATATCGTAATAGGTATGATTATTCCGCAACGTTGGTGCATAGTGAATGAATTAAAAGAGCAGAGGAAGGAAGTAGAGAAACAGATTTATTTATTGCGTAAAAAGAGAACAGTATTTATATGTTCTTTTTATAAGTACAGTTAACGTTTCAGGGAAACGATTACCGGAAATGCAAACGCAGATAACACGCTTGTGTGGGTGGGTAGTAAAAATAGCCGTGCGTTGTAATTAATTCGAGCCGGTGTGTGCTACTATATAAACGATACGACTGAATGGTTTGTGGTTAGATAATTTAGCTACGTATTAATTGCTACTATTAATGTTTCCACAATGAAACAAGAAATGAAAACTGCGAAATAATAAAAGAGAAATAATTACTCGATTTTTATTCGAAACTTGTACGAATTTCATGAACCGATATCGACTCTTCCTGCTCCCTAAAACATCCATACAAAATCAACATTCGCTTCGGTAACTATTTGAAAGCGCGAACAACAGCAGAAATTCATGAACAGTTACACCATAAAGAAGATAAAGACCGGTGCTGTTTATGAAATAATTTGTTGTTTTTCAATTACGTTAAAAGTTAACAGAGCAAAACCTCCGAATGCCCGTTGGGATATGAAATATAACAATATCCAAAAGATTAAATGTCGCGAGAACTGGTGCTCAATTAAACGCGATAATGCAGTGGCTGTTCGATGCTTCATTTATTTATAGAACAACTAATTTTAATCGATACCTCTGATTAACCTTGCGGTAACAAAACAATACGTAACAAATTGCAATAAAAGCAAACTTTCATGCTTTGAACTACATAGATTAGATTTTAGGATCGAAGAAAATTGTTGTGGAAAGCTAATTATTATCGTACACGCGACACTGGGTCAACCGTCACGTTATTTCCTAGTATCGATCGTGCGATTGATTCGAACTTTCAATACTTCTCATCCCGATGTTATTTTTAAAAATACATATTTCCACTTTGTAACGCGTTTTGCTTTATCTCGAATCGTTCTTTCGATAACTTTTCCTGCAGCAGTTAGCACGCTAAACTACCCTGGTGGTTAAATCTAAAATCTCATTAAACGAATTTTTATGCCTTCGTTTTCTCGATCCGTCAACGACTTTATACACCTTTTTATTCGCTGAAAGGTGGAAACGAAATAATTTGTTTGAAAGTGTCGTTTATTAAAATGTTCAAGGTCAAATCTTTTCCTCGACTCGATAAAAAAAGCAATAACTGAAATATAAATAGCTTCATCTTTTATTTTACGACTACCTAATTACGTTTTAGCGTGCGCGGTATCTCCTAATTGCCCAAAAACCGGTATTAATTACTTACACGTGTACTGTTTAACTTACGTATTTGGGAGGAAAAATGTTTCAACTCGCATAATGGTTCATAATAATCTGTTTAAATGTACACATTTGTACATGCGGGAAAATCTTTAATACTAAATATTAATTGGAAAGTAGATACATGAACGGTATTAGTTTTCGTCACGATAAGATGTAAAACAAATTTTTCATAAAATTACGTACCGAGAGTTCGTTGCATTATCATTAAATAAAATGAAATAAATTGATAACGGTTCGTTATGGAAGAATATAAAGAGGTTTTTAATTAACTTTGAGAATGATCAGATCGTACTACTTTAAGACGTGCTGTCAACGGTACCGATACGATTCGAAACTTACCCCGGAAGTCAACCTTCACAACCTTGTCTCCCTTGCACTTCAATCCTTGAAAGTTCTTCACTATAACGATCAGCGCCATTCTTCGATACTTACTTCACCGATTGAATTTACAAGGACTTTAATGTTCGCGAACGTTGCGGGTTCCAGGATAATCGAACGGTAGCGTTAGGTCGCATACTTGGTACTGTTTCTCGGACATTCGCGATTTCCGTTCGTTCGTTCAAAAAAACTGTCCACTCGACGAATCGGACGCGAATTCGTTGAAGATCCAGGCGACCCGGAACCGCGGTAAGCGTTGATCGAAGAGTGGTTTCGATTCGCCGAGATTTTCAGTAAAAACCTCTGGAATTAGTAATTTCGGAACCGGTCGCTGTAGGTGTAAAAAACGAAGGAGCGCGTACACGGGTCGAGCGACGGACAGCTTCGCACTGGCTCGTGTTCGCGCCTCGAACAACCCCCGTGTCCTGACCGCCCTACCCGCCCTTCCTATCCTTACCAGCCTCCCCGTTCCCAACCCGCTATCCTGGAGAACTAGCGCACGCGCCACTTGCTTCGTTCCTCGCGTACGTACACTATCGTTCAGAAATATCTCGGCCATTTCATACTCTTTCGTGCAACGCTCTCTACGCGGAATCATGTGCTCGTTGAATGATGCGAATCACTGAATGGCATCGGTTTTTTTTCACCGGTTCACTGATTAACGCGTTGAATGTTACGATAAAAGTGGATGCACGAGTCAAACGCTCAATTTAAATTGCTAATTGATCAGCTTGCGTCACTGATGCGTAGCAACGTTCAAACTGGTCCTTTCCTTCTTTACGGGATTTCATTTATGGAATTAATAAAGACTGAAGATTTGTAGAGTATTTTTATTTTCTTTCCAAATTCCTGTGATCCGAAGATCAGTTACGATATGACCCGAATATGAATCGAACAGGGTTAAATAAATTATTCGTTGTTTTTTATGCTTGGCCGTCGTATTAACAAACAGGAAATTCTTCCACATACGTAAAAAGGTGTAAGAATATTTATGGAGGATAGTGTACACCGTATCACGCGTCATCGGCGCAGGTATCCACTGATTCCTTTTGCCCTGCTCGCCTCTCAGCCTTGTCAAAGGGTGCTTTGCATTAGCTCGCCGTAATCGGTGACGTATGCCTCCCGAAACCGAGAAATTGCTGGAATGCTCGACATACGGATTCGATGGAGTAGACTGGGTGGACTATACCGTTCCGACCTCCCCTATCGTCGAAATTCCGTCACTGGCTCTTACACATGCGTAGAATAATACGAACGCGTACGTACGCTCGTTTCATTCTGGTTACGACCCGTATACTCGTTTTAACGAATCCTTGTAGCCGATGTATGCGAATAAAGCCTAAGGTCACCAGTACATCGGCGAAGTACGACAAAACTCTCTTTTCTTAACAATTACGCTGTGTACTAACAATAAAGAACTAATCGAATCAAGCAAACAATCGTGGTATTACATCTTTACACAACATGTTTATTTTTCCAACGTCGGCTATAGCCGTCTTGAACTACCTGTGGCTACCAATGCTTGTTATATTTACTCAAATCAAAATTGCTTCGAACAATATTGATCGTAAAATAGAAATTATTGTCTTCGATTAATGTGTTCGTCAAGAGGCTATGGGCTATTTCATTAAAATTTTAACTTGACGAAAGTCGTACATTGATACGTGCTAATAATACGATTGAAATCGTGGGCGGAATAGAGAGGACGCAAGACACATTTCCGATTGATCGTTAAATATATTTCCTTCGTTGACCGAGCTCTACACGTGCGATCTACTGCCAATTTCATTTGGATATATATTCCAATTTATTTAAGTGGAAGAAGACAGACGTTTCTATGCTTTGAAACAATATGAAACGGAAATCGATAGAAAACACGAAAAAAAATCTCTTTGATCTGAAAAAGCTAATGAAAAATTTTGTTGAAATCTTGGTCTGAAAACGTCGTAAAATGATTAAACTTTGTAATATGTCAATCTCTAGTCTACAATCAGTTCGTTCAGATATCAATAAATTAAAAATTAGAATAGGAAAACGAGCACAATAATTGAATGAACGTTCAATCTTTTTTGCCAAGTTATTTTAAGAAAAATGTTCTTGAGATATGTTGCGGGTAAATCAATAATGGAATAGAAGTTGGGTCTAAAATTTCTCAGCGCCATCCTATCATAAGATTTGGAACTAACAACTGTTGCGTTCTTCTTTCATTTTTCTACATGATTTCGCTAATTAAAATCCATCGCGATAGAGTTTATTAATTTTCTTCTTCTTTAATTCGCTTGTTTTATTTTATCGTCGATCTTTCTTGAAAGTACAATAGAATGTATCGATATTCGTGATATTAAAGAACACCAATTTAGAAACATACACTTTTATTTCTCTAAAAATATACATATACATGATTTCGTTATAAAGCTGAAAATGTACAAAATATGAGCTTCTTAGATACACCATTAACAGTATCAAAAACATATTCGCATGAGTAATTGGTATCTTATTTACATTACATTTTACGATACGATATGCAAGAAGTAATGGATCCTCGTTAAAAATCTTCATGAGTCTGGTATCATTAATGACGAATCTCCTGAGCAATTCCGGCCAAAATTGATAGAGACTTTATCTGTTCTACGGTAGAATCGACGAGTACCCTTGCAACCTCGACGTTGTTATAGATTAAATACAAAAAACCGAAGTAGAATAGATAGACGGCGAGTAGGTGAATAACGTACATCCTGTAACAGAGAAAGAACGGGACGCGAATAAAAAATATGCAAGATTTAATATGATCTCTATGTAATCCGAAAACACGTACACTGCTTGGTATCTCCGAGCTCTCGGTAAACTGGACAAATCTTCTTTCATGCAATATTGCCTCGCGCCTAAGATACAATGCTTTATGTATTCCGTCTGGTCGATAGACAGAAGGTTAAGCGGAAAAATTTGTTGGTCTTTCGAACTCATTTCTTCCTTCATCATTAAAAAATTCGTGTTATGAAAGATCCACTCTCTGGTGGTGAAGTATTGCAAAACCTCCAGCCCCGTCGATATACGATTCTGTAGGCGAACCATGCTGAAATAATAAAAAAATTCTTACGAACAGAAGATTCTCGTATAGACGGAAAAGACGAACAGGAGAAGAACTTACAATCTTCTTTGTCGAAATATCAGCATAAGAAAATCGATCAAATACGCTGGTATAATGTGAAAGAAAAAGACAATCAGATCGTGTACGAATTTGTTGCTATGTATATCACCGGCTGGATACCACACTTGCCCCTCAAACGGATACTGATAAGCGATCTTTTTACCTTTCTCCAATATTTCGCCCCAAGTGATAGGCATGATGCGATTTTGAGTAATGTTATATATCTGTATACCTCGCGATCTAACAGAGAAAATATTGTATACGTTTGTTCGAAATCGTTGGAAGATTATTTACGCTACAGTAAAACCTGTCTATGCACCGTACAGTCTAATCGAGAATCGTTTCGCTCGAGAAATTACCATCCACGATACGCGAATGAAACAAGCATATCGACAGATTTTATTGTATTGTATTGGCAAAATTGTTCGCTACGCGATACAATTTTAAGATGTCGCTTACTTTTCGGTATTAGCTACTTTTTGCGCAATCGTAATTAAAGAATTAATAGCTACATCGACCGGTATCACTTCCGCGTGATAGCTGCCGATGCAGTGCATCGACCTTATGACACCTTTCCCTGCGCCTACTAACAGTCCCACGGGTCCGTTCAGGTTATCCACCCATCCTGGTAGCGGTTCTGCCCAAGCTGGAGTTACTAAACGAATCATTTTTGCTTTTTAGTAACTACGTCGCTGTCCTCCTCGTAACTTCGAGTTATCGTCATTCGCGGATATTTTAAATTAATTTAGGAAAATATAAATGTTTTACCGATCGACGGCCTGGCGATGCAACACGGTAAATTAGGGAACTCGTTGGCTACCAGCTTTTCTGCCAATCTTTTCGAATACGTATAGGTGTTCGGATGAAGATTCAGTACCCTGTGTTCAACGATATTTTACATATTAGCATTTAATTACTTTTAAGTCACCAGCCTACATGTTACAGAATTATCACGCGACTCTGTTCGTTTGACGTTTCTTGTAACTATTTTAATCGTTTTGCTGCAAGAACAAAATGAAATACCAACGCAAAACAATTTTACTGCCTCCTATTTTTTATCGCTAGTATCAAAGTTACTATGAAATCCGAAGCGACTAACGCGACGAGTCTTGAAAAAGTTATTGCAACCAAATATAAAAAGACGCGAACAACGATTTTGTAGATAAAGTAATTACTTGGGCGTGATTTGATCGATGGCACTTTCGTCTAGCCATTGAACCATTTTCATAACGTCGTGCGGATCGTCGGACGGATCGTAAATTTGTTCGTCTAGTTCCTCTTTGTCAGGGTAACAAAAAGCAGTGCTCAAATGTACGAACGCCGTCAGATTCTTCATTTTTTTGCCAAGCTCTAACATCCTTTTCGTTCCGACCTTGAACAATAGCGGTTACATTTCGTTCGTTTTTCGGCAACGGCAAAGTAACTTTTGCGTAACGAACGAATAATTAAGAAGTCACGACTTTCAACGCTTGACAACATTTTTCTGTAACCACTTATCACTTGTTAGAATGAGCGATGTGTTCGATCGAGTTGACACGTTGACTGATTCGGTGGAAATTGCCATGCCTAGCGAGATTAACATTAACACGGATTATAATGGATATTAACTGTTGCCCAACGAAGCCGAGTCGCACCCAACCCACATCCACGGAACTCGGGTGACGGTACTTCGATTATAATTTCAAATGAATTGAAACGAAAGAAGTTAGAGTATTGGAAAGACTAACGTTTAAAAAGAATTAATTAAAGACTTTAAAATTGAACTTCGATAGTACAGCACTTAAGATAGACGTACATTTCTTTCACACAAAGATCTATTATTTCTTTTCTCGTGACGACAGTCAACGTGTCAATTACTTTTTTGCCGAAAATTGTTCACAGCATTACTCTCATAAATAATCGTATGAATTAAAAGACGCACGAAATGCCATCATACCGACTTACCGTGTTCATTTCAATAGCGTCCTTCAAGTTGGACTCTAGTCTGAGCGTTGCCGCGCAATGAAAAACTATGTCAGTTTCGTTAATCAACATTTCCAATTGTTCATCGTTCAGTCCTAAATTATCCGAGGTAACGTCTCCGTTCAACGCTATCACTTTCTTCAGCATTTCCGGCTTTTGCTTCTGAATTCGTTGAAACAACTGCTCGATAAAATGTTGAACAAATGTCAGTGACAAATGATTTTCAATGTTTCAATTGCCGATAGGAATTATTTTCGTATAAATTTTGGAAAAAGTCGCGTACAATTGGGAAATTGGTAATCGCTACAAATACATAGAAATTAATACTTACAGGCAACTTAAACATCTCGTTGACACGAGCTTCGGGACTACGACCTCTTTTCGCTCGTGCCAAGATGTAAATCTTCTTTAAATTGCTGCAACTGTAAAGTAGCTTCTCAATAAGAACTTTTCCCATCAAGCCAGTACCTCCGGTTATAAAAATAGTTTTCCCTACATAAAAAGACTGTATTTCGCTTAGTTCATTCATGTTTTTTGCAAATCTGAAACAAATAGGTACCAGATATTTTATTATAAAATGGGTAAGTAGTCACTTTAAATACTAGAGATAATTTTCGTTTAGTCCGTTGCGCATCATACGCTTAATTAAACTGTGCGTAAACTCCAAACTCCAATGCCTTCGCGACCATGAAAGTTACCAGACGCGGTAGATCAAGTATGAAAATAAGACGCTCACTTTCATTTTTTATATTTTACACGGCACACATACACGCGTATATTATGAGCCAAAAATAGAGGACCGCATCTCGACAAGCATACGCGACAATCACTGTTAATGCAAAACGATTACAACGTGAAAATATTTTATATAACAATAGACAAATTGTAAAGATCATCTGCCTACGGTGTAATTCGCAACGCATGTTTCGGAATGCAGATTATATCATAAGATGCACTTTTGATCAAGTTCATCCACCCCGAGTCATCGAAGTAAACAAAGCCTCTTTTGATAATACCGCATCGAATTCCATTAAATATCGGTTTACTCGAACTGTAAGAGTCAAGTTTACTGGGTCATCCTTATTGAGATCCAGCTGCAAAAACTGAACCTCGTCGTATACCCGTCATCTTATTATCGTTTGGCATTTCGTTCGTTTTTTCTCTCCTTTCACTAGCTTGTTAAGGAACATTCCACGAGGCCCAGTTCCCGATATTGTCAATTTTTGTATATGTATATTACGACTGGATCATGGATATACGATCGAATTTCGCTATAAAAGAGAAAATCGGTGAAAGGCTGAACGGGTGCGATCCGGGAGAACACACACGGATAAAACTCTACACGATACATAATCTACTTTGCTTTGATTCCTTTGAATCGGCCAAAACCAACCGTCGTGTTAATAAATAACGCGTTTTTTATGAATCCCTTCGTGCGTTTTTTATAACCAATAAATATTAATTACACTTTTATACGCGTTCGACGTGCTCGTTTATTTTTGCATACAATGCACGAACGATTTTTTATATTTTGAATTTCGCCGAAAAAGAAATTGTATTTTTTTCACACGAATTTACTGTTTCCGCTATCGTGTAAAATGTCAAACGGAATATATCCACTTCACGCGTCTATCAATGATTGAGCAAATTCGATACTTTTGAACAACAGTGTACCCATCTCGTATCCATGAAAATATTTCGTAACGCGTCATCGGATGAAATGGAAATTGAGAGACCGGAGTGAATTTGACCTTGCAATTTATGAAGACTATATATTAAAGCTTTAACTTTCTCTGTATATATTAATTTTCATTGCAGGCAATTGTACCACATCGTACGAATCCTCTCGCAATAATTAGTATAATTAATTCGAAGATGATAGGTGCTGTTCGTCATAAATGTCATTGCCGGACTGTTCGAAATTTTGACGAGTTTTGACCTAGACAAAGTCCAAGGAAAAAGCATTTAGTTACAGTAATAGTGTAGTTGATGAAAGACGAGTCAGAAGTGATCAAAAGATATTCATACATGCTTATTAAAAGTCATCTGCAATTTCAATTTCTAACTTCAATCAATTTCTAAATAATTGATTGCAATTAATTACAAACGAGTATTTAAATATGAAAGCGTTGTCAAAGTCAGATCTCACTTAATCCTTTAATGATCAGATTTCCGCTTAATGTATTCAACCTGATGTTGTGATTTGAATCTGCCAAGTTACATGTTGCCGATTAATCTTCCGACGAAAACCAATATTTTATGGTGACACAACTGCCGAGAGTTACGGAATTCTTTCTGAGAAAGTAACATTGCGTTTTGGACGATACACTGCTCACCGCTCTTATGTCGTATAGTCATCAAAATATGCATTTAAAAAATTTCTTTTGTGGAATATGGAGAATAATAATCAACAGAGTCCTATTTCATGGATCAAAGATCCTACCTATACAACAAGAAAATTATACGATGAAAACTATGAGAACTGTTTTAAATAGAGAATATAAGGAAATTAGGAATCGATAACAAGACTATCGAACAAGAGAAATCCTGAACTGAAAGGTAAGTAGTTCAATGTTCCAGAAAGTGCACGTGTAGAGAACAAGTCTGATCCGCATTAAACACTTTGATCGACAATAATATATTTATCCTATTGAAATTACGCTCCGCAGCAAGAATGACAAATCAATATTAACTGACGTTCGATGATTTGTAAATTATAAATTGACAATAAAATGGAAAAATAAATAAATACGAGATAAATTAAAGTCCATCATTTTTATGAGTTCATTCATAAAGTACTTTCCATCGAATACAATTGAAAGACATTTACGATTCAAGCGATGCTCGATAAAGATATGCAGGTCGTTCTTAAATGTACTAGAACGTAACAAGATTTCTTTTTTGCAGGGAAATGATGCGTCAACGTTATATGCGGATCGGAACTTTTCCTACAATAGAGCAATAATTTATCTTCCTTCAACGTAGCTTTCACGAAATCTTGAATACCGTAAAAAACGAAACTCGAACCAAAATTACTTGATAGTAGTAAAAAAGACTGCGGGTGTAAAAAAAATATTACAAGGAAGAAGCGACATTAGAATGACAATATTTGTTCACGGTCTTCATTCAGAAATGCATGTATTACGTAATTACATATTGACATTCGTCGTCGCTATTAAAGATTTATCGTTGTAATAATCTATTTTTCCTTTTCCAATGAACGGTTAAAACAACGTAAAAAATTTTCGATTCATTGCACGTTAAAAAGTTCTACAAGAAATGTTTGCGAGTTCACGAGATCTTTAGTTATTAATAATACACCATACTTGTTGAAGAATATCATAACACGAACGACTACAAAAGTTGTCTTTAATAGTAGACTAAGAAAGCCGGTTTGGAATTCGTTTTTTTATGTCTCGCTGTCGTCAATTACTTTTTTCTCGAATTAACGTTAAATCAAGTTCACCGAACGCAAAATATTTTGCAATGTTTACATTGTTAAAATAGAATGAGAAAATTCGATGTTTTCACAATACTTTGCGAAGTAAAAGTATTTCGTTGTTGTAAATAAAAAATCGATGAAAGGGCTTAATTCGAAGTAACAACGAAAGAATGAAAGCAAACCGTTGTCGATAGTTGTTAAACTTGTTCTTTGCTTCGATTGCTTTCGACGATATCGACTGAATCGAGTCGAGTAAAAGTAGAACTAATACAATTAATGAACGAACAACGCTGAAAGGAACAAAGTAGATAATGAAAAATAAAATGAAAATGAAAGAGATTCGTGCGTCGCTGAAAACAACAACCGGACGTTGAGTCTGTAGAAAGGAAGAATGCGCTTACCTAACGGTATTAATCTTGTTAAAGCGAAATAAAATCCTCAAAGGAATGATAGCGAGTAAAAGCAGGAACCGGTAGAATTGAATCGCGAGTGCAACGCGAAACCAAGTACTTGTACTGAGCGAAGAAGAGGAAGAGTCGTGAACCGCGCGTTCGAACTCACTGAGCTTCAACCTGGAGCCGGTGTAGGAAGTCGTCGCCAGAGTAACGTTGTCTCCCCACCTGTATCCAATTTCTGAGTTTTTACGCTTTTTCTTCTTGTTATTTTATTCTTCTGAAACGTTTCCACAATCACCGTGATACGATTAAGAAATCCTCGTCGCAAATGCAATTGTGAACTGCGTTTATCTTGAGTCGTTTCCCCAAACCAAATCGACGAACGAATATTAACTTTGTATCTATCTTCCTGAAAACTGGTAATTTTTAGAAAATATCGTAAATAAGACATAACATTTATAGCAGCGATTGTATGTCTTTTAAAAATAATAACAAAAATTTATGGAGAAACTTTCAAAACTTTTCACAACCACAACGATCAAGTTAATGCAGGTACACAGCTTAGAAAAGTTATGAACAAATAACAAAAACTTAATTAACAATAAATGCTCAAAGTAAAAGTAAATCACCACTAATGTGCACTCTTTTGCGCGAAGTCTTGTAACAGGAACATTGGATAACACCAAGTATAGTTACCCACTTAACGTCAACTAGACTGCTTTGAAACTGAAGGCACTCTCTCTCCTTGGACACTGACCGATGAAACTCAACCATGTTAATACCAGGTAATCAACTTTTTCCGAAAGTTGTAGTCACACTTGGGACCGTACCCTGAATTTCATAATCCCTTTCTACCTTTTACTCGTTTAACATGGTAGATCACAGCCAAATATAATAGGCGAGAAACCAGTCTACTTTTAATTCATAGCAGTAAAAAAAAAATACATAACAAGAACAAAACCGTCACCGCTAAATTTTCTATTACACTTTTTTATACTTTTTTCCCATGGACGAAATCCATATTTCGTAAAATGTACAATTAATAGCGCGTATAATTATACATCATTCGCATACTAGCCGTGTTCATCACGAATTTAGTTATTTTTATTTGTGATCAGACTGAAATTAAGCAAAAAGTTCCTTTCACTTAGAAATATTGTTACACTTTCTCTATTACTAAATACATTTGAAATTATGAACGCTTTCGAAGGGAAGCATTGCGCTGCAAGTGCACGATAAAAATCATTATGTTGTAACTACAAAATGATGCAATAAATCATCAATCATATCGAGTCAAATTTAAAGACCAGTAAACACAACTTAGAAACAGTTTTCTTTAACAATGTATGTACATACTGAAAGTCCATAAGGTTCGATCATGATTTCCTTGAAGACACGATATAAACTCTAACTTTTAAATCTTCATTAATAGAAATAAATATGTATGTGCGAAAAAGATTCATTGTAATTTCGTTGTTAGAATCTGTATTTTATATGTGAATTACAACACGTACCGAAACGAGGGATTCTAAACAAGCGACTTTTTCTTTTTCATAATTGAGAATCTCGCGCTAACACGATAGCACAATTCTTTAGTAACATTTGACCAAAAACGTCCCTGCAATAAAATTAATCACGTTGATTGCTTTCACTAAACGCGTATTCGTTCGGTAACTTGTTACAGGCATGTCAAAAATTTCCGTTACGCAAAGATATTATGTAAACTCGGTGCACATTATAGTTCATCGGCTTTTTATATTTCCTTTTGGAAAATCTCTTTTTACCTCCCTCGTTTTTCTTCTCCCTTCATCTCGTTGTACATGTATCATAATAATTTGTCTGTATAATGATGCATGACGCTGCTTTCCTTCGGTGAGTTATAATTAATGACTTAGGTTGCAATTATAGTCAAAGCATTTTCTGGTGAATTTTGAGACAACTATCGAAGCAGTCGGATAAACGAATCCTTGTACTGTGTATCGTGCAAAGAATCTTCTGAATATATTCCTCAGAACATCAGTTCGATAAAGAATTCATTCGTTGTAATTGTGATCGTATAATAAAATTTAATCGGTCAACTAACAATATTAAAACAATCTCGATAAAAAGAATAAAAAAATTTGTTTTTGTATATATAATACATAATTATCGATTTAAGAGCTTTATAGTTTTTGATAGATTAATTTAAGCTTGAAAACTTTTGTAAAAATTACAAATGTCTATAATAAAGAGTACAATGATCAAGTTATAGATTTAAATATTTTTATTAAAGCCTCATCTGAAGTATAAGAAAATGGCACTTTGGGTGTTTAGACTACCGTGTTGAAATTAATCAATTTATTGTTCGTATAAATGATTGTAAAAAAATAAAAATGACTTCAGATACTACAACAATTGTCGAAGAATTGGCCAAAGATTATGCGGGTTATGCAAAATTGGATTTATCGAAGCAGGTGAGTTTCGTATTTTACATAACCTCTACAGGTAACTATTGAAATTGACATATTTGTCAAAATATATAAAAAATATAAAATTGTGTTATAGCTAAAGGGTTTTCATGACACGATCGAGGATGTGATGATGCGCTTGGAAGAATTCCAGTCGATCATTGAAATGGTTAGAAATCACTGTTTTCATTGCTTTATCATTCTCAGTGAATGTATATTATGTTTTATGTTGAAAGGTTCAGTCTGAAAGTTCAAAATGCACGGATCAACAAATTCCAAGGTTGGAGGACATGGAACAGGAAGTCACAAACCTTTGCAGAAGAATAGATGCTTTAGAACATGTAATAGCAATGGCTAATGTAAATCTAACTACGTTAGAAGCTGCTGTTGATAACGCAGAAGCTGAATTAGGAATTTCTGATAGATTATTTGGAATGCTAAATCCTTTATCTTTCTTTGTAAGTTCTAATTAACTATCTGATATCGATATTTATATTAATTTACTGTGTTATGTTTCAGAAAAAAACTCAAGAGCCGGTGGATCCAAATAAATTAACAACATTTGAACCTCCAACAATTTATAGAACCAGTGACTATTTCAATAGCGAATAAATAATATATTCTGCGAAGGAATAATATCCATTAATTCTTATGCATATTAATATGTCACGCATCTATGAAGTACCTTCATATTTAAGTAATTTATATAATTTGTCATATCAGGTGAATTTCTTAATTTTCTTCCAAATATAAAGCAAAAATATTTAAATTAAAAAAATTATGGTAATTTTCAAGGTCAACACAAAACATTACAAGTAACTACCTTTATAAATGAAGAATTAATTATTAACAAATTTCAATACATATTTCGTTTATTTCAATTATAAGTATACTATAAAATATATTTAGAAAATACGTTAGCATGCCGCGAGAGTACAGGTCTTTAATTGTGCTTTTTTCTCGCCTAAAAGACATCCTCCACCTATACAGTGCCTCCATCTTGTAAGTGTTCCAACCCCGCAAGTAACGCTACAACTAGACCATTTGCCCCACTGATCCCATATTTTTGGGCCTTGCCTACCTAATTTTTAATTCGCCTGTCATTAAATTATTCATCAGTTGTTTTTTGTTATTAAAGTAAAGATTAGCATTAAAATTATAATATCATAAATTAGTAATGATAACATTTTATACATAAATTATAGTTTTCTAAACAAATTTTGTAGATAATATATTATAATTTGTAAAATTTATTACACGTGTTGTATATAATAAATTTCGATTGTTACCAAATATAAATTCAAAGGTTTAAATATTCGTATATAAACTAGCCTTTTAATAACCATACTTTTTTTATCTTTTCTAACGATTCTCTTGACATTATCGTTTCCTTCGCTAACGATTTCATGGTTTCCCACGGAAGAAGTTTCCATGTCGCGTTGCAAATTTTTGTTTTCAGAATTCATGATTTCGGACATAGACCGAGAAGAATGTATTACAGCGTCGTTTAAAAATTTCTCGGGCCATAACATTGACGTACATTCCATAACAACAAACACAATTACTAACAATTTAGAAAATTTGCTTATCAGTTTATATAACATTTGCGTTGCTAATTATATTTATTCTGTTATTACTTCAAGTAGAACTTCTTGCCAATTGAAATTATCTGTTAGCAAATAAAACGATTACATTATCGTGCTCGAATCGAACACTGTTAAATAAATCAATCGATGCAAGGCTTTTCTTTCAAATTGCTTTATTATCAAGATTTAATACCAAGCCAATGAAGAATGGATTTAGAATCACACTGCTTTTGCCGACAAGTTTTTATTTGTGCTTTTTTCAATCCTTTTATGCAATCCCCTGCTAAACAGTGACGCCAACGAACCTGACGACCATTTCCGCAGGTGACACTACATGTACTCCAATTGCTCCAATTGTCCCATAATTCGTTATCTGTAATATTTAAGAGATCATGAATGTCGATAACTCGAAAAATAAAAGCATAGTCAACAAAAAAGAAAAACATATTATGTAAATTGTAGATAATAAACAATTATTTACTTACGATCTTCGTTATCTCTCTTGCTTCCTTTGAGAAAATCATTTAATCCTGTTTTATGTAACTCTGGTTTATATTTTATAGAACTTATATGAACCATATCTTCCGAATAATCGAGCAACTTTCGATTATGATATTTCAAAATCTTGCTAGAAGCTGCATATTTATGTGTAGAATTTAATCGAGCGGAAATGAAGCTCTCATCTTGTTTATCGCGTATGCTAATTTTACAGACTTAACATTAAAAGTTGATAAATAATACACAATAAATAAATAATATGTAATCCCTACCATTCATGTATTAAAATAATTGTCACAATATTTGAAGTGAGTTTTAAGGCATTGTCTGTCAATTCAGTAACGTGAAACTTTTCAAGTTTTATTACATCGCCCGCATCTTCTAGAAAAACGTAACCAAAACAATGTGTCAGTATTAGCATAGATAATAATCGCATATCATACCACTATCAGTCGATATGCTGTTAATTCGATGGTTCCATTAACAAGTCAACTTCATAGAAAAATAACTCCGTTAAATACGTAGCAATTTGACAGGAACTATTTGAAACATACGTGCTACTCGAAAATATGTTCAAGTTATTTAATATTTCATGAAGTCGAAATAACGATATTTTTTCTAAAGATCCGTAATAAAAGCGGTAAATTAATTCACATTTTACTTTTAATTGTGAAAAAATTGTTATAAAAATTAACGTATTATATGTATTATATAATGCACGAATTATTATATCGTTTACGAAACGCAGATACACAAAAGATCATACAAAATGAAAAATATACTAGCAGATCTACCAGTAATTTGAACACAAATAATACGAGTATTTTAATGTATAACTAAGATTTACAGTATTTGTTACATCTTTAATGGAAACTCGTTCGATCTCGCTCCTATACTAACTCGCTGTATACGATTTCGAGAATCCCTACATATATAATTTGACGAGTTTTTTTACAAATCTGAAGGTATTATGTATTTGCCATATTCTGTTATACAAAAATAATAATCTCCTAACTCAACGTGTACCTAACATTTACCAAACCATTAGATTCCAATTATATATTTGACAAAATATTCACAGCCTGAAAAACGCCTTATGAGCACGACCATTCGGAATCTGCCCTTGAAGTCTCAATCTTCGGACCGCTTCTCTCAAATGTTTAGGCTGTAATGGCCCTGTTTCTTGATGTGCTTCCATGACATCGAGAGCTATAAAATCAAATACGACATATGCAACATTTTTACTCTATAAAAAATTTTAATAAAAATTTTTTTCCCGTTTTACCTTCTTCTACGATTTCTCCTACAAATACCTTCGCAATACCGGACATAGCAATTACTACGTTTTGCGACACAGAGCAACCCGTTATAGTTTGCATGATCTACAATAATGAATGCAAATCGCGGAATATTTAAAAAATATGATAAAGCATAAATCATATATATATCATGTATAAATATAAATTACCCTTTTTATCGCTGCTTTTGGAAAAGCAGCTCTTCTATACATTTCGTATCTGTCCAATTGATCTTCCGTAAAATTTGAAACTAATACTCTGTTAAAAAATTAATACAGATATATCTACTTGTATTTGTTTAAAATAATGTACAAGTATAGTAGCATGAAACTCAAACACGTACTGCATTTTTTCTCTCTCTTCTTCTTCCAACTCCTTTTTGCTTTTCTCTCTGCTTTCTCTTCTTTCCTTAACGGTTGTTGGATTTGCATGAGGTAATACTATATCATTTTCAAACATATCTTCAGTTATTTGCTCTTCTTCTCTAGAATCAATTTCATGTTTAACAATCTCCAATTGATCCTCCACTACCGTACACATTGAATTAGATCCTGCTTCTTCCACATCGGACTGGGATTGAGAACTCATCGCGTCTGATTCTACCTGGTACGATTGCTCAAGATTATTTTAAAAATATTATATCATATTTTGATTCGTGCATCATAATTGCATTGTACCTTGACCTGCATACTATCCACATCCAGTGATTCTACATCTTTAATTCCAGAATGTCGAGAGGGACTACCTTTTTCTTCCTTCTCTTCGATATCCATATGTTCGCTTTCATTTCCAGAATCTTCCTTACCAAATATATTATCCATTGTATAATAAAATTGACTCACATATAATTGGTGCAACACTTATCATTAAAATATGAAAAGCTTGTTGTTTTAGGTTAGAGTAGTTGCTACAGTGGCCATAACATAAAATAAATATATATCTTATAAACAATATAAATAGAGAGATTAATTTATTACAAAAAGAAAAGCGGAGTAAATTTCATCGATAATAACGATCGGAGTAACAATAAGTTAATTCATTGACTTTAAAAAATGTCTTATCCCCTCCCGTAATCACCTATTTACACGTGCTCATGACAACTGCATCATATTTTTTCTACGATAAGAAGTTGTTAAGAAATGACATTTTGTACAATGTATCGATCATACAATAACATAAAATATTTAAATTTTTAATATTTAAACAATCTTCAACCATAGAAGTAGAATAGAGTTTAGTACATAACATTTATAAAATGTTTCGAATTTCTTTGGGTGACGCTTCTCATTCCCTGTGATTATTTTTCAAAGATCTTCGAATTCGAATAAAATTAATTCTTTACTTATACATATTCGATAAATATACCGTTTTTAGTCATCGAAGTAGCGGATTAAAAATTAAATCGGTGGAAACGAAAGTAACAAATTTCAGAAAAATGGGGAATCGATACTTTGGAAGAATATAAATCGGAGACAGTTAAAAAATTTATTAAAAAATATAACTTTTGCGAGTTAAAACATAATCGAAAAGATGAAAAGTCGCAAAGTGGCGCCAACTGGTGGTCGGTTAAAATTTAGTCGATGGTGTCGCGACGCCGCGACGTATTTGTCAATATCTCGTCGTTTTCACGATTTTCACGGTTCGTACGAGTTCATGGTAAATCAGCGCGCGATTATTTCGGTGCTATCGGTTTCGGAGTGATATCGAACAAAGGAAATTGAGTATTTGGTGCGGATCGAGGATAAGTTGGACGTGGGCAAAAGACGAACAGAGTTCTCGGCGCGGAAAAGGGACGACGAGAACTGGCCGGGACTCTGAACGATCGCTGGTAGGTTGGTGGCTCGCGAGTATATTGCCTATCTGGTTCGAGGGCCGAGGGGAGCGCGGTAGTGAGTGAGTGGAGTCGTGGAGTACAGTGAAATATCAAAGATCGAGAGTAACATCGGCCAAAGAGCTGACGCGATTTCTTACGTCCAAGCATCGAATACCCGGCCTACGAATGCAGTTTCAAGACGGAGTCGCGTATTAAGATGTGAGTACGGTGTGCCTTCGAATATACGAGACCGAAACCGAGACGTTTCACGGGAAAATTATGGCGAAAGGAGAAGAAAGGGTTTCGTTGGCAGCGAGCATTGCATCCGTTACGACGGCTCTTCACCAACCGTGAGACAGCGGAAGAGACTGTCTTCGTAGACGGTACGAAAGACTGACGATAACCAAACAAAGTATTGTCGTAAACACAAATCATTTATATCGAACTCTGTACACGATCTTTCGCACGTTCGCGGTTGACGCGGTCGACGCGCGTACGCCTCTTTTCACGCGTAACGTCATATACACATATATAAGTACGTTTTATCAACGGTATCGTTTCACGACACCTTTACGCGCACGTCCACGAGCACCATGAGACGCGAGCGAAACCGGTCTTGTCTCTTTTCGAGTGCCTCTCGATTCGTTCCTTGCTCTCTTTCGTCCATGAAAACGTCACTCTCGCTTTACCTTCGAATCTCGCTTCGGCCGATTTCATTGTTCGACATCCGTTTACTTTCGATCGCATCGCGATTGCCGCATTTATTCGAATTATCTCGTCCTTTCACGCGTAAAATGACCCGCTAGTTTTTTTCTTAAACTTTATCGTGCAAGATACGCTATTGTCGACGTTTCAAAAATTGATTACGTCGAATCGTTAACTGTATGTTCGCGCAAGTTAATAAATTTGACTACACAGGACTTCGAGATCCAGACAAGAGGAATCGTAAAAACACAAAGACAAGGAATCGGTGACAGCGAACAAAGCAACCGGTTACGTACGCGACGAAGGCCCTCGATACATACGTGCACATACGTTTTTTCGATACAAAGCAAATCCCCTTGTGAAAAATTCGAGTCTGTGCTCGTATCGGTCCAGTTTTAGAATTTCGTTCGAGCGCCGCTCGCTAGAACCAACCTCCGCGCGTAGAGGTTAACGAACATATTTTTTTAAAGGCGCGCGCATCGCGTCGTAACCAGTAACGAGTCCATTGGTAGGCGATAAGTAACCGAGCCTCGAGCGATTATACTTAAATCGTAATCGATTGCTGTATCCTTTTTCCGCAATTGCTTCGGTGATGGATCGTTTATAGCAGTTTACAGCAATTTTACCGGACGTTAACTCCTTCGTGATAGGAGAAAACGACGGTGCGTACGACGAGAAGGTTTCTCAGCGTTCTCACGGTATTGTCGTGAACGCGTTTTCGAGCGAAATTTATCGGGAGCAATTGGCGGAATGTTTGGCCGAAGGAAGGGCGGGAAACGTCGCGTTTACGCGGAGGGACGCGCGTAAAGGGAGCGTTGTCGAAACGAAAGGTGTAGCGACGGTCGTTGGCCGAAGGAGAAACGAGCCGGTGTCTCTGTCTCGAATCGGTGGAGCCTGTTTCGCTACGGAAAGCGCCTCCACCCTCTTCGCTCCGTGAACTTTCAAACTGTTCCTGGAGCAAACGACAACGTTCGTCGGCGCGCTAACGAATTTGTCAGCTTTGTACTTTCGATCATGGACCTGGACCGACTCGATAAGCAATCGCGCCGTTTCGAAACAGTCCGCGCGTTCGCCGTGAATATCAAAACTAGTTCCGATTAACGCGCGGCTAGTAAAAACGATCACGTTTCTTAGGTTCGTTTCCAGAATTCGAAACGACGCGAGGAAGGAATCGGACGCGAAACGCTGCTACACCGACGACCGCGAATGCTTTCTGCTCGCTGGTTTAATCCGTACGGGCTCCGTTGCCAGCAGCGAGGTAGGAGACCGTTTAATCGTCCAGCGGGGCAAAGCGTCGCGGAATAAGAAAGAAGTATCGTGACGCGAAAGCTTAAACGAGCGAGCAAAGTGGTCGCGTGCGAGATATAGAATACGTGTTTACGACAATCGGCATCGCGGAGGTCAATATACCGTTAGAGACACCGCGATACATCCTCTCTTCTCCGCGCTCTGTTTTGCGGAGCGCATCGCGCGTGGCGCCGCCGTCTTCCTATTTTCTAAAATATCTGTTTCTTCTTCGGGCTACCCTACGAACGCGTTACTCGCATAGTTTAACCGCACAGGATGCGGCTAGATAACGTTGCGTCGGATAAACTTACTCCGCAACGGATACACCGTTGTCGCGTCTACGCAACTTTCAATTGTGTTCGCGTTGCGTTCAGCGAGGCAAGCAAGGTCGCGTACTTGTCGCTAATCGAGTTACAGGAATCAAATACTTTGGCACACGCTCAAACGGTATTTGCAGAAAAGTGTAAGCCCATGTTCGCAAAGTCATGTTCGCTAACGATACTTTTGAAAGAAACTCTCACGCTCCAGTATATAAACAACGCGGCACGATATTAATCCATTTTACTTCTTTACCTTATGTGCTAGATCAGAAGTTAAAATCTAGAATAATAGGTATTTAGGAGTTTGATTTCCTTGTACTCGAATGTACTCTTTACGCGTATCTTGGTTAGCTATCAATGAACCGCGTTTACGCGCGTAGACGCCAGATCGGTTCACGCTATTTCGTTTCTCGCTGCGGCTGCATCGGGTCCTTGACTCGACTCTCTGCCACTGTCAGCGAGTAAAGCGAAACTTTACGTAAGCACTTTCTACCTGTGAAGGTACGAAAAGGCGATCGGTAAAAAGCGCTGTCTCGCGGCGAACCGCGATCGCGATCGCTAGGAAATAATGTCGTAGTCGTGGGTGTTCGTCGGACGAACTGTACCACCTCCCATTCTTGCTCGAGCGTTTTTCCGAACGAATAAGAGTAATCCTTTCACCACGGTGTTTCCTTCCTCGTAGTCGCGAATCTGTCGCTGAAACTCGTTAAATAAATTCGTTCGTTACTTTGAAACCAGAACTGAATATTCATTTTCCCGACGTAACAAAGTTTTCATCCGCACAAACTTTTTCAACGAGAATTGTATGTTCTTGACGGAATTCGTTCATCGTGCATACATCTGTAAGGGTAGATAAATACATCGGTACGCGAAAGTATTCGAAAAGGTTTGTTATACCTTGGACGAAGAAGAAAGTTGCGATCTATTTTAGACGCGGTGTTGCTTTGTTCGAATACTTTTGCGTACTCGCGTCATAGGGCCGTCATCGTAGTAAAAAATAAAGATTCGCAACGTCCGTTTTGACGCAGGTGCGAAGAGGCTACAGAAGTGGAGACGCATCATCGGCAAACAGCAGCAACAACGATGGGCGTCGCCGAGGATGAGACACCGTCCTCTTTGACTTCTCATCCAAACCCTAACGTTAATAACCCCAATCAAGAAGGTACGTGTCCTGTTCGAGTTACTTCTTTCTTACAGCGGATAAAAGTCTCCAGTTAAAAGCGAAACTAAAACTCGTCGATTAAGTTGGGCAGCTTTTAAAGCCGATTTAATTTTATTTTAAAACAGAATTCGATTTACTATTCAATTATTTTCCGTATCGCGATCGCATACGCTGTTGCGCGGACTACGATCTCGTTTAGAGAAAAATAAGGTACCCGCCGTTGAATTTCGATGCTTACGACAATGGTTCTTCGATTCCGCGAACGTCGCGACACTGCTTTTTTACGAGTTTCTTTATCTGATCTCTCGGCGTACGCGGCGCTACGTTTTTCTATTACTGTTTCGCTCGAAATACGAGACCGATATCGTTTTTCATGCGCTTCCAGAAACTCGCGTTTTTTTGTGACCGTAGCAGGCTTACCGTTTTCATTGATGGATTTCGGCGCTTAAAGGGTATGTCTCGTTTCTTTAACTTTAAAGAGGATATGTCGAAGGAAAAGCCTTATGTTTATAGATCGGATAAAAATACTGAAACGAGACTGAGGTACGTTTATAATACGTACATTATTCTGGTCTGACCTGTGCGTGACCGGTATAACCAATTGTTTCATGCTGAAAGCATGCATAAAACTCGGGACACAATTTCGGTTTTAGCCAACACATTTCGGTATCTTATCTGGACTCATCTTATTGTGGAATAACAATATAGTATATATGTCGGGATACGGTATAAAGGCACGATAAGACGCGTCTCGAAGCGATCAATCGACAGTCTATAGAGCAGAACCGTGAAAGGAATATACAGGTTTCGCGATTCTGTTCCGGATTCGCGATCGACGTTAATCACAGCTCGCGTTAACCTTGCGCGTTCTTGGGTTTTAACTCGAAAGCTAGTTTCGAAGCAAAATGCGCGCTCATTAATCCGTTTAATTATGCCGACACGGAAGCACCGTGAAAAGTCCCGATGCGACGGAACCGTGCAACGCCGCACCACTTCTCGCCCAACGAGCACGGTAACGGACTCTTAACGATCGCTATCCTTTCTTGTCTCTTCCGCGCTCTGTCCTAACCCGACATTCTTACGCTCGCGTGCACGCGACACTTCCCTCGGCTAACGAGAGACATAGGGGAACCACCCTCCCACTACTATCTTTCTTCGCTGTTGTTTCTTCGCTTCGGAGTTTACGTTGGTCAAGCG